TGGAATTGAAATTGTTTTAAGAATAGTAATTGAAATAAGAAAAAAAACTCATTTAGTTTAGATAAAAAAAATTTAATGCCATTTTTTTTTTGGTGATAAGTATATATTTACCTTGGCCTATTAGGAACTTAATGACTTTTATTTTTCGTTATTTATAAAATAAATTTTATAAATGGGACAAACTTATACTTTTATACGTTTTCTTAAACTACCAATTTTATTCAAACGCACTTCAAGAAAGCTGAAGTTATTAACAAATGGAAACCTAATTAAAAGTGGTAAAAAAGTTCACCATGGGCTTCAAAAATTGGTGGTAAGTATACCTACCACGGCCTTCGAAAGGATTAAAGTCTTAATCCATCATTAGCTTCATTTTTTTTTAAAGAACTGTCAGAATCTAGTAGTCTCAAATTCAGGAATAAGGTCTATAGTGACTTAGCTTGAAAAATGCTGTAATCCTTCCTTACATCTCGATACCACCAAAATCAATGTAAAGTGACAAGTATGATTAAGTAAGAGTATATTAGTTCCATTTCTTTGTTAAAATAAACTTTTAGTGTTACTTTCTTCTTGTACCATCTTTGGAAAAGCAACAGAAATTGTTTTCTTCCTAGTTAAAAATCTACATTGTTTAGCAATTCCTATTGCTATCCTTGAGAATAGTACACTGTACATCAATGTCAAGAAATTCTCACACTTTGGATGCAAATGAATTGGTAGAAAATATTAATTTTTTTCTTGTAGAAAAAAGAATTTTTATTATTATATGGAATTCTTGAACATTGGAGATCGAAATATGCTGCAAGTGGCGTAGCGCAGAACCCTCTACCTATGGTAACACTTCGCATGCTTTCAGCATAGCGTGTCGAGAGTCATTGGGGAAGGAAGTACGTTGGATTCCGTCTTGATTTTCAAATAGATTTAAAACTTTTAAATTAAGAAACTATATGTAACTGAAAACTACATTGAGCATAGTTCCAATAGAAAGCGTCGTGGAAATTTTAAAAAATATTTGTGACATAATGCGAAAAATATCAAGAAAGGGGAAAAATATTGTTGTGCAATCCTATACAAATGAGAATAGGAGGAGAAGAGGGAAGACTCAAGCTATGAAACCGGTCTTCTCCCCAGGTGGCGTATTCGAGCGTCGCGATCTCGAATTCGAAATTTTTGAGAGATTTTGCCGCCCTATGATTTTACAATAAAATAGAGCTCGATAAATAATATTCTTTCAAATTGAAAACTAGTCGACGAAATATAGAAGAAATCCTGATAATTGCTTGCGATCGAGGACTGATTTAAGGTAAGGCAATTTGAAGCATGTGCCCTTAATAATTCCAACCTCCAAAAGATCCACAAATTATTGCAAATATCTATGCTTGAACCTTTTAATATATCCTTTAGTAAAAAAGAATATCACATTTAACTTATTTCTAGAACGTATAAACTAGTCTCTGCCTAATAATGCTCGTATTGGCGAGTGAAAGGTGGTGTAGAGCAGAACTTTCTACCTATGGCAACACTTCGCATGCTTTCACCATTAGCGTATGGAGAGTCATAGAAGAAGGAAGTATGTTAGTTTCTGTCTTGATTTTCAAATAGATTAAAATCTTTTAAGTTATACTATATGGAACTGAAAACTACATTAAACATAGTTCTAAAAGAAAGCATCATAGAAATTTTGAAAAGAAATATTTTTTAACAATTAAATACGAAAAATATTAAGAAAAGGAAAAATATCTTACTACATTCCTATACAACTGAAAATAAGAGGAGAGGGAAGGGATGGTACCGTTCTCCCCAGATGGTGTATTGGTATTCGAACGTTGCGATCGCCTTTTTGGGTAGCAATTTGAAATTTAATTTGAAACTTATTCTCGAATTATTAGCAACGGGAAATCCTATGTGAGATCAAATTCATTCCTCTGCCTTTGTAGTTTTTTCGTCTAGGGATTAAAGAATTCTGAATAGTTTTATCTTTTTATTCATATTCTTGATATCAGCTCTGGAGGAAATGATACGAACACATGCTATGAGAAATTTTCACACTCGAGTGAAGAAATTTCTCATAGCAATTATTCTAAGAAATTAATTTTGGTGCAAATATCCCAGGCAGTTGCAAATTACCGAAATTAATAAACGGAGGGCCGTTATCGTATTATTTATAATTTTCATTTTTATTTTATATAAATTGTTTGATTTTTTTTTTTTAATCCTGGAATTTCACTCAAATTTACCTGAAAATATCAAGGGAAAATTTCTTCTTTTTGAGTATAAACCCTACGAGAGGCTAAGTAAGAAAAAATAGAAAAGTACACGATAAATCGAAACATTTTATTGCCTACGGGAAAAATTGTAGAGTTTTTCAAAGCATAAATAAATAAATGCTTTTTTTTTTTTTAATTCTTCGCATGTGTGCCTTATAATTATAAGAGCCCAAATTTTTTGTGTATGTTTTACTAATAAATTTGTACCTTTGTTGTTGGATAAATCTTAATTTACTATAATTGGAGGGTACATTTTTGATGTAAGTTCACATCCAACTTCCCTCGAAGAATGTTATTTATCCCCTGCAAAGGTTGTGACATAAAATAAAAATGTTCAAATATCATAAAAGTATTGGTAAAATAAACAAGATTCTAGCTTGTATTATTTTCATTAGTCTAATTGAATTTCTTATAAACAAAATAAAATCTTATTACAAATCATGTCTGAAGCATCTTAATAGGAAAAAAAAGAGGGGAATATCGATTGGTCGAAAGTGGAGTTCTTTTCACCAATGAGAGATAAGAGATGTGCGTGCAATATATCACATAACAGAGTGTGGTGAATGGACTCTAGAGCTCAAATGATATGGGAAACGTAAATGTCGATTAAAAATCCAACTTCTTGAATCCTGGTTTATGCCACTTCCGTGTTTATCTATTGCATTCATTATTTTATAGCGTCGAATTAAAAGAGTATCGTTTTCAGAACGAAGAATGACTTCAGAAAAGTAAGTGACATTTCGCGTTATCAATGAATCGTGCATTTTATTTTTTCTAAAATATCTATGTAGTTTTTTTTTTAATGTTACACGAAATGTAATTTAATTTTAAAGCCAGGTGCATAGCATGTATCTAAGAAAGATCACATACACCTGCCAAGTTTTTTTAGCCATTAGAATAGTTTTTTTTTATTATTATTAAAAGCAACAATAAAAACTGTTATTATTAAAACTAATAATAACAATGTTATTATTAGTTTTATGGAAGTAAAAATGTCTTGCCTTGAAGCATATTATAAAACATAGTTAAAATTCAGTTATTTTATTGTATATCACCGTAATAATTATTTTTTTAATGCATCATTTTATTTTTTTAGTTGATAAGTTCTCAGAACTACTATAGTAGATACCATACCTACTATAGTATATATAGTATAGTACTACAGTAGAATTTTAGGAAAGTTTGTTATTTGTTTGATTTCTTGTTTTTAAATATTTTCTCTAAAAATGAACAATACACCGAAATGTATATTCAAAATAGCATGTGGTGCGTAAATCATGACAGAAAAATGTTCTTACGTGTTACTTTGAAATTTTAATTAGTCCCCTAATATATCTAAATAAAATTGGAAATTTGGTATACTAATATTTTTTTAACTAACTTTTTTCTCGTTGTTATTTAAACATAAAGAATTTTCTAGTTCTTTTTTACAAAATATTTTTTTTTCCAAAATTCTCTGGCTCGAAAAAGTCAATTGCGTACTTGCACTTCAAGAAGACCATCGATACCTAGACATGTGACTTATGCCCTCAGTGCTAGCTGAACGTTTATAAACAAGATGGCGTGTTAAGGTCGAACGAAGTCTCTCCACATAAGTTAGAAAGTTAATTAACTTAAAGTTAATTAAATACGGCGCCGTATTACACATCGAATTTGTTAAAATATAATTATTTCTCTTCTACGTCTTTTACTTAACTTAGATTTATTATTTGTTTACATATTTTATTGTAACCTTGATATTATTTTTGTTTCGATGCATAATTAGTTTATGTTCGACATGACTTCGTGCCTGTATTTGTGTTCAGTGAAAGAATAGAAATCTTTGTGAAAGAAATTAAGATGTGTCATTTAAGAGAATTGATACTTGACGGGCTTGGCTTACTTGAAATAAAATGGAAAGAATAGTTGATAATGTAAACAAATGCCATGTTTCAACAACCAATTAGGGTCGGGATACCCATACTACGTCACTTGCAGGTATCCCATTCAAAGAAAATTTCATCATATCGGGAATACATGATGTTCGACAATCCCCGCTCTTAATACATATTTTTAGAATCCTTGCAAAAAATAAGGTTATGTACAAACATTAGAGGTCGCAAAATAATATTTAAGCCAGAAAAATGTTTTCAAAATTTGATGAATCAGTATTGAGGAAGGTGGCATCAAAAATTAAAACCGATCTGATTATCTTGGGGGCTGGTAAGTGTTTATAAACACATTCACCTTCTCTGAACTTACTCCTTTCTAATAATAAATTTATTTTTGATAAACATGCTAAAAATATGTACAACTCATAACTCATTTCCCCACCACACATCTTGCAGTAAATGATGCTTTGCGTGTTATTCTAATTAAGCCGTCATTTAACGTATAAATTTTGCGTTTTTTGTGCATTTTTCTCTTCAAATTTTAGGAACTTCAAGAACTCGTAAGCATAATATAAGCGGAGAGATACACCGGAAGTTTTCTAAATTTCTTCCTGTTTTAGGAAGTTTGTTATTGTTTACATTCAATCAAACATCCATTAGCTTTGACAGTCTCTGGGACATTTTCCACACCCCTTGTCAGTGCGACCTTACCTACATCGGGTAAACTAAATGCGCTTCAATATTCAGACACGATAGGTATGTCCGTTATCAAGAACTAGAGATATCTTCAATTGCTTCACAATGTTGGAATCTTGAGCATAAATTCAATTTCGACAATGCTTTACGATTTATCTCCACCCCAGTCACGTCGGCTCATCTTGATACCCTGGAATCTTATTTCATTCATTTGAATGCTGATTCCCTTGTTAATGACATTAGTTTCTCCCAGCTTCTCCATAACGCGTGGAAATATATTTTACCCTGATTTGCTTCTCGGCTTCTGTGGTTTTTGTTTCTTGTCATAATATTTTTATTTACCTTAGGCAATTTTATGTTTTCAAATCATTTTTGTTTTATTCATTATACACTCACGTTTGTCAAGTCTTGAAAACGGGTGACTATTTTTTAAGCGCTTGAAACATGTCGACTTTTATTTCAATTTTGCATATTTTTGAGGGGTAAGAAGTTTTCTATCAGGTAATTAAGTTATTACTGGTTTGAGTTTTAAATCTTAGAACCCTATACACAAATTTCATGCGAACTAAATTTCGTTAGATTTCGTTAAACATTTAATGGGATGCAGTACTTTACCACTCTGTCCATAGCCTGTAAGTTTCAATTAACTCCTGAAATAAATCATAACTTTTTGCGTCAGATTTTATATACTTATTTTCAAGGCAAAAAAAGGAATAAGAATATTGCTTAATGTATTATTTTTAATTAGATTTTATTACTAATATATTATTTTAAAAATATTTGTTTGAGTAACTCAAATCACGCAACTGTGATTTAAAAAAAAAAATTAAGAGTATAGTAGCTAACGAAAGAAAAAATTCATTTCATTTTATATAAATTTTATTTATTCTTGAAATTAATAAATTTTATGTTTGCTGTTTCGATCTTCACGAGTTAAATCTGAATAATCTGGATATTTTTTTCCATTTAAAGATTTTGAGTTGAGAGACGTACTACGTCATCCAAACGAAGTAAAGCTCTTTTTGGGCACGAAAAAATTCGTGTAGAAATACTGAAAAGCACAAACAATAAGGTGACCAGATTAAGAAACCATGATTTGAAGACAAACCAGAACCATCTTCCTTAAACTTGATTTCATTACTAAGCAATTTTGAAATATCGTGTAATATTCTGTTAAATTAAAATTTGTTTCGTTTTTGGAGTAATTATTTTAAGAAGAGTATTACTTTTTCATCTGCTAATTAGCATGGTGCTTTTTTGCTTTTTGTTTGTATTCGCTTAGACAAAATTATCGTGTTTTTTTTCTTAAAAATAAATAAAAAGCATGCACTTTTTTTTTATATATTTTACTGCATAAAAAAAAATTGTTTTTGAAGAAATTTGAGGACGACTGTGGAAATTCGGGGCTATTTTCTATCCCCAAAATGTCAGAAATTTTTTGAGGACAGACAATTAAATTCGAAACTGTTCACCTTAATAATGAGGAAGAATGAGAGTACTAACGCCTGTTTTGGTACTATAAACAAGTATCAGTACTTTTTCAAAGAATAAATATAAACCTGGAGGTATTTTTTGCCTACCTACAATTCGTACCAATTTTCCCCCCACTTAATTCTTTGTTGCATTGTACCGAAACGTGATCTTTTGTGCTTCACGCGTTATTTCATGAATGTACTTAATCATATTAATTTTTCTAACGATTACCTTCAGAAAAACTTTTTTCGCAAGATTTATTTAGATTAAAAAGAGATTTAAAATATTATACTTAACAACAAGATTAAAAATATGATACTTGCATTTTATATAACCCTAGGAATTTAAAATTAGGTTATACCTTCTAAGTTATCTTGCATTTTTGTTATTTTATTAAAAAAAACGTAACTTTCTTCCCCCATTGTTTTAGACTACCTTCGTCTGCTATTAAAGCAGGTCAGTGGTGGAGGAAACGTTTGAAAAGTCTAAATTCCAACAGCTGCGATCCCAATCAAGATCTTGAAGAAGACAAATCAAAAGCAACAAATGATGAGACCTCCAGCAATGCAAGCTTGCCGCTGGATCGAAAGAGAACTGCCACCTTAACAAGGAGAAAAACATTTCACGTAAAAATCATNTTTTTTTTTTTTTTTTTTTTTTTTTTTTTTTGCTTCAGCAAATATTTTATTTAAAAATAAAATTAGTCCAGTAATTAGTCCAGTAATTAGCGCAACAAAAAAAGGTGTTTCTTCGAAAAATTGATACTTAAGATATTTTTTTAACTAACGCTTTTGTTATGTTATTCTAAATGATACTCAAAAACTTCCTTACACTCAAGCTTCTCCCTTTTCAGAGATAAATTGGGAATAGAATAGTAAGAATTTTATGATACCTCTGATGCCTTTTTCATCAATCATTGTTTGTTTAATCGCTTGCGAAATTGAAAAAAAATAATATGCAGGGTGCGTAGCGTTTTTAAGAAGTATATAAAGGTGCTTTTTTCATTGATTGTTTTTAAAAAGTGCTTAATTTTCTTTTTTCAAAATGAGATTTTTCTTTTACCATGTTGATTTTCACTACAAATTATGCAGAAAGACATTGTTCACATTGTTCCATTCAACGCTTTCCCAATTAATTCAACCCCAATCTATTTCGGCTTATCGTCAGTCCGTAGCGTATGAAAACGCCTTTTGATTTACATGATTCAAAAATTTTGGCAATGGTCAAAAACAATGCCGAAAGCTGTTTTTTTTTCTTGACATGACGGTTAAAACCGTCAATTGTCAAAAACTTTCCAATCCTACCTAATTGTGATTTTTTTTACAATGCTTAAAAACGTTATTTGAGTGCTTAAAAAGTGCTTATTTTTTCTTGAATAATTTGGTTACGTACTCTGCCATGTTGAAAGTTTTTTTTTTTAGCAAACGATCATTTTACCCGAATAGAAAAATATCCAGATGGTAATTTCAGACTTTTGATAAAATGTTTAAAACCTTTTTAGGTGGCAGACGATTCGAAAGGTATTATATTTCATCCTGCTAAAATTGGTAGACCTCGCCGATCCATTTCTGATGAAAGTACTGTGTCAACCTCTGTTACCTCCCTCACTACCTCCCATCAAGAACAACAGAGGGCTTATCATCAGGCTCTGCACAAATTGTCTCATGATGATCGCTGGAAGAAAGAAATAGCTCTTGGTACTCGTGTTTCACTCTACAGATTGTACAGAGATGTCGGGAAAGGGAATTTTTCGAAAGTCAAGATGGCTGTTCATTACTTGACCAAAGGTTAGTCTTCAAATAATGTCTTGGTGATAAATGCTACCCTGTAACCGTTTCATTAGCTCATCGATCACAACGTACTCGTGCAGAATACATGATAATTTTATTGAAGCAAAACTAACATCTCTATAATTTTTTTTATTTTCGAATATTTTGAGTCATGTTCTTATGTATCATTTTTATCTGATTGCAGAGAAAGTGGCTGTCAAAATAATTGAAAAAGCCAAACTACAAGCGAAGAGTAAACAGATGTTGAGCAAAGAAATATCTGCCATGGAAGCTATTCAACATCCCCACATCATTAGACTCTACGAAGTCATAGAGACACCGTCAAAACTTTTTATTGCTATGGAATTTGCTGAAGGAGGAGAATTATTCCATAAGGTTTCAAATGGGGGAAAACTTCCCGAAAGTGAAGCAAAAGTTCTGTTCTCTCAACTAACCTCTGCTGTTTTTTATCTAGTAAGTGTTGGGTGATCTTTTCCATAACTATAAATAAGTCGTTATTGGATATTTAGTTATTATAATTGGTATCATCCGTGTATGGCTTATGGCTCTTTCTTATAATTTAAGTCTAGTGAAATGTTTTAAGGGTATCTTTAGTTAATGTACAGTGCACAAAAAAATATGAATTATCTTTGATCTAAAGATTGAATTTTCGTGTTCTAGGACTCAATAATAATGGTTCGAAGGGATGAATTCGAATATGCTAATTAATTAGTGCAGACGATATTTTAAGTTTCAAAATCAGACGCTTTAACCTGCTTTCTCTGAATATACACACCTTTTTTTCGACGGATTCCGATTTCTAAGCCCCAAAATATCAAAATATAGGGAATAACTGCAACCTTTACCTGAATACTGGTCCCAAGAGAGTGGTCCAAATATTGGAACCCTTGATGACGTTAACTTAAGTTTTTTGCGTTTTTGTCCATATCTCGATAACTTTTTAAACGAATTGAAATTTTTTTGCACCCAATTATAAAATTCGTTTATCCAAAGATAATTCCACGCAAAAAATAACTTTTAGTAAATATTTATAATTTTATTTAATAATTGTCAAAAATAGATCGGAAGATAAGCAGTGAGCAAGTGTAAGACAAGCAGTTTTTTTTTTTTTTTACATTATTATAAAGAATGTAATTTTACATGGCAAAATAAAAAATTTGAACGAAATCAATCGAAAAGTTCCTAAGAAATACGACTTTTTTAAAAATTCGATTTATCAGAAACTATACGACTGATTTCGCTCAAATTTTGTATTTTGTCATGTAAAATTATACTCTTTGAAATGATGCAAAAAAACTGTTTACCTTACACTTCAAAATTTTTTCGACGATTAATAAATAAAATGATTAATCTTTAAATAATTATTAAAAATTATGATATGATTAAATTAGTCTTTAGATAAAGGAATTTTATAATTGTGTGCAATTGTGTCATCCATGTTCAATAGAGTGCCTTAAAAAAAAATTAATCAAAAATCGCGCAATTATTAAATATTTAGACACGTTCAATATTGAAATTTGTATTTTTTAATCTTACTTAAAATTTATAAACCTTACCGTAGTTGAAACCACTAACGATCATTTGATTTGCGCTACACTCGCACTTAACAGGTCATAAGGGATTTAACAATAAAATTTAAAATAATATGGAAGGAATAAGTTTACTTTTTCCTTTCTTTCTTCTTTTGCTTTAACTTTGATGTGAATATGAACTGTGTTTTTTACTTTTGTAATGTTAAAAATAAGAGGGACAAATAAGATTTTAGAGTTCCCGGTTTAAGGTAAAATTTTATTCTATGTATATTTTGTATCTTTCCCCCCCACACACGATTTCTTTCCTAAAAAGTAAAGGAAGGAAATGCTTTCCTTTTTTAGTAATTTAGCCTGCTTAATATCTTCCGCAAATCGATTCGTATTCTTTAAATATATTTAGACAAAAGGCGTACAATGACCTACTTGTAGCAACAGTTTTAAAAGTGGCTAAAAACGGTTATGGTGTCTATGGTTACCCCTAGTTTTCTTGTCCGATACGTTCTATTTTTAGGTTTATTTATTTTTTAATTAAACAAATTATGTTACTAGAAGCACTTTCTTGCCACTCGAGGAATGTTCAGACTTGTGCCTTATATTGACTTTAACTTAGGATTTATTACCTCTCAACTATAAATAAACCGCAAATTAATCATTACTCGAGTTTATTAGGTATAAGGTTAAAGTTGTAGTTACTGTGTGAAATTCACAATTAATTTATATAATCTTTATCGATACTTTCATTTTGTCTTCTTTACTCGAAACTTCGCTCGATATTTTTATTTTTAGTAGTTTCGCCTAAATAATCAAAGCAGAACTTTGCAAAAAATAATTAATTCAAACTTCCAGAAGAAAGAAAAGCAATTTCTTAAATTAAGATGGAATTTTAACTAGTTGACACTGATCTTTGAATTTCACACCTAATAATGGCAATCTGTGTCTCACATTTCAGAATAATTTTAACAAATAGAGATAACACAGGAAAGCAAATTTTTTTTTCTTCTGTTGCATGTTGATATTTTAACAAATCTTAGTATCGATGATTTGTGAATCGGCTTCTCTCTCCAAGCTACAGTTTTTCTTAAATGACATTTTTAGTCAAACTTTTTGTCAAAATGTACAAATTTAAAAGAGTATTTTATGACAGGGGATTTTAAAAAGAAAAGATTCTTAATTTAGAAAACAATCAAAATCAGAAACGTAATAATAGCAGAGTAAATTAAGAAAAATAAATATTACTGTTAAATACATTTCAAGGATCCCAAACAAATCTTATGGAAATCAATCAGTCAAATTGGCTGAAAATTCCATATGTTGTAGTTCAAAGCATTTTGTTTAAAGTTTTCATTTAAAAAAAAATTGCGAAAATTGATAGTTTCCGTGATCAGAAGCTTCAAATATATATATAGTAATTCTCAATTTAAATATCGTCACGACATTAAACATTACCCCATGGAGGTTGATGGAACGGATTTTGCGCTAATTATAGTCCTTATGAGAGCGGATTGTTTAAACAAAAAGATTCTTGGCCGCAAACGAATATCCTGTATAGTTATGCATAAAGACAACTACTTCAATTATTTGAATGTTATTTTACTTTTGCTGGGGAAGTCGATTCACTGTATTATAGACACATTTCGATAGATACATATATATACAATGGATGGTGTTTTCAATATAAATGTAAACAGCAACAATCTCAAGCTCTTGACCTGCTCTTCTTCCGGCTAGAAAGTATACAGATGCTTACTACAGCTTATTCTACGAAGCGCTATTTTCAAACAGATAATTATGTTTTTAATAAAGGAAATGAATTATACAATTTCTGAGCTCAAGTATGCTGTATTTCATAGGACATTAATTATATTAAGTAATTCTGGTGAATTTGAAGTGAAAATTTGTTTTAGTTATTTAGAGATGTATTGTTAAAAAAGGTGACATGGTTGCTAGGTTTAGAAAAAAAATCGTTTTTTTGGCAGTTCTGATTTAGCCTCTTTTTATTTGTTCATTACTGTTTGTTCTTGGTTCAAGCCGTGCACCATCATACTCTAGCATATTATTTGAGCAGCGAGATTAAGTAAATTTTACTAATTATCATTTAGGTTTAAATGTCGACGTTGGTATATTGTTGACAAAGTAAGAAATGTTTTATAGCGATTCTTTTTTCAGATGAAAATTCTTACATCTTGAAATGACAGGTCTTCAAATGACTATTATTTTTTAAAACACAAATAATAAATCAGGTAACAAATACACATATACAAGGAATACTATTCAAGAGAGTTTCAAAACACAATGATCACGTTGTGAGCCAAATAACTTTAAAATGCACCAAAAACAGTAACCCGGAAGTATAAGCGGTCAAGAGCTTGCAGCGCTCCCTAGTGTATCATTCATACACATTAACTTCGTAAACAGATACACTTGATGTTATCTAGAGATAACATCAAGTATCTCTAGATATATAACATCAAGTTTTTAGAATATGTACGGTGTAGATACCGTACATATTCTAAAAACAATACAACTCTCGCAATGTGTAAGCAAGTACTCAATATCCAATGCTTCACGCAAGCGCGCTTCAAACTTTCGGTAAGAATTTTTGCTCAGAAGGCTTAATTTTCAACCAATTTGAGAGAGAATTAATTTCCATAAGATTTGTACCGGGTGTTTTGGGGTACGAAAACATTTTTCAAGAAACAATGCCTTTATGACTTTTATTAATTTTGTGATGATGACAATCAAAAAAAATATTGAAATTAATGTGAGAAAACTGGATCTTTATCATGTGATTTTGCGACCAGTAAAAATGTACTGACAACAATGGAAAACCTGCAACATCATCATTAGTTTTTTAAATATAGTTAAATATATTTCAAAGTTTGCGTGCTCTAAATTGGAACAAGCTCTTTTTTCACTCACTACATTAATAGTATTAATCACGCATTCGCTTTATGAATTTTCGCTATTTGGAGTTTAGCACGCGTTTTTTGTTTATCCTGTTTAGTTTTGTAACATAAGATAAAGATCGTGTACGTAGAGTCGTTCAATCTCGGGTAATATACGCTTTAACAAGTCAAAACAAATATTATAATCGAATACTTATGAATGTTTTAACTCTTACGATTTATTTGGAAATTTTGTGTTTCATTTGCTTAAACTATTATATAGCTATATACTGTTATTATAAACATAAATTTAGATAAATCACACATGAAGATCATTTAGATAAATCATACATATCCTTTATTACCGTTTATTACATTTATTCTTTTTAAATTTAATTTTTTTCCTATTATCAATGTGTAGGGTATACCGTAACGAATGCCCTTAATATATATTTTTAGAATCCTTTCCAAAAATGAATTAAGCATACACATTACAAAACACCAATTAATATTTAAACGAGGAAAGAAACTCAATTAAAATGTAACACAAATCACCGTGTGAGATGGCGAACCTATAACATTCATGTATTTTGGTGGAGCTCTAGAAGTACTTATTTTAAATTACTTTTTAATTCCATTCGCTGACGTATTCCAGAACGTAAGGGTGACAAATAACCCCTCCAAAGCTGCTGTGGCTTAAAATATAAAGCCCTCGCCTCCCAATGAGGCAATCCAGGTTCGAATCCAAACGTTGGCTGATCAATATGAATTCTGCTCATAAAAACATCTGGTTGACTGGTCGACATGAAATATCCTTAGTGGTAGACGGATCATGGTTAACAATCCCTTTGCAATATGGAGGTTTTCTCGTGGGAGGTTTTCGTGGTCTTCTTCTCTATGTAATGCAAATGCGGATTAGTTCCATCTTAAAGTCCTCCACGATTGGCTAGATTGTCCCAATGCTTGACCCAGTAATTTTTTTGTCTTCTGGGTTGTGTTCAAAGTTACAAGACTACGGAGTTGCACATTGATGATCAAAAGCTCAGAATTGGGTCAGCTGTTCAGCACCGGCTATAAAGTATAAAATGAAATACGAACGTCTTTTTGTAGAAGAAGATAACTATTTTCTTGGGAAGTTCCTGAGTGTGATAAGTTGTAAAAAAAAAAAAGACTAATCTAAATTTTTTTTTAAAAATCTGTTACTTGACAACCGATCCATTTTTGAGTTTTCAATTGATCAATATTCAATTCCGTAACTTTAAGCCAAAGATATAAAGTATGGAAATCCGGGATCAAGCATTGGTACAAACTTGAACTTGTGAAGGACTTTTTGATAAAACTAATCTGCATTTGAGTTACAGTGAGAAAAAAACCACGAAAAATTCCCCAGTTAGTCCAACGGCAAGGGGATTCAAACCCATGATCTGTCTACCACCGAGGATATATTATGTCAGCAGTATGATCAGCAAGAGCTGGTATCAGAATTTGTATCTTCCCACCACCGCCGGGATTCGAACCTAGATCTCTGGAGAAGAAAAGTAGGAAAAATGAGACCACCCACAACACTTAGTAATAATTGGAAAATCTACTTCGAATATTGAAATAATTATGTTTCTCACTTTACACTCAATACTGTTTTTTAATAAAACTTAAGGTAACATTAATTTTATTTTGCTCATTTTAATTTTTTTTTTTTACTCTCTCTTTTTTATAAACACATTAAAACTTACATTTAAAATATACATTTACAATATTTTTTACATAGTTTTTGTCCTATCAGAATTCAGAAGATGCACACTATATTTAAAATGGTTATATCACAATTTATAGCCCAACAAGGCGGTAGTGACAACTGATTTTGCGTCAAAAAGCAAGTTGGAAATTACACTTCATTCAATAAGCCAGAAATCTTTAACCTTCCTTTACAAGTTCTTCGTAACTATTTTTAATATATAATTTGAGAATCCTAGCCAAAAATAAAGTTAAGAAATATGCAAATTATGATCATTAACGAGAAAATATAATTTAAAAACATCAAAAGCTGTTCTAATTGCGACAAGAAACAAAGGAGTCGCATGGTGATTATTTGAAATACTTCAAGTTTTAGCTTCCAATCAAACTGGTTTTGATAATTTTAATCCCGCCCTTCTTAAAACTGATTCGTCAAATATCAACGACGTTTTAGTTCTACCTGGCTTAAATATTAATTTACGACCACCAATATGCCTTTTTAACTTCATTTTTGCCAAGGATTCTAAAAATACATGTTAAGAGAGATGATTACGGATTATTCCGTCTTAACTTATGAAAACTCATTACATTTCAACCGAAAATAACTAGGTCTTTTAAAAAAAGTTTCCTAATAGTAGAGATAAAAAAATTAACATATAACTCAGTTTTATAAATTTTAGTTACTCTTTTGGTTTTAAGAAATATTTTGCTTTTAAGATAATTTAAGAATTATTAATTAATTTATAAGCATTTCAATTAATATGAAACAAGTTTAGAAATGAAAATCATGCAAATATAATTTATAAATAAAGGTAACTGAATGTACATCTAAGGAGTAATGATCTTCAATAGGACAATGACCTTTACCGGGAGTATCTTCTTATTGAAGAGAAAAATATGCAACATCAAAGGCACGCCCAAAAATCAATACTTATTTGAGAGTGCAACAGGTACAGCCAGCCATTGCATTGCGAGATACATTATAACAACTGACAACAGAATTATTGGTATTGTTTACGGAAATAACAAAAAAATATTGATCGAAGTTGTCAATAAAATTATTTAAAACTTATTGTTGCGATAAGAGTTATTTCTGGGATAACGAGTTTTTCACATATTTTTCAGGGTATTGACATTCAATTTCCTGATTTGAAAAATAATAAAAGTTTTTGCGTATTGATGTAATTAAAAAGATGAACTTTACCATTTAGACAAATAAATGACTCTGTAAAATTCTCCCAATGATAATTAAAACGGATATTTTTATACAAAATCTTGAGAAACAAAAATAATTTTTGTTATTAAAATAGTTTTTAATTTTAAGTAAAGCAATAAGGAGGTTTTTAGTAAGCAAGTAAAGATTTTTTCTCTCTATATTTTGTATATTCGTGATCTCAACGCTCGAATACGCCATCTGGGGAGAAGAACGATACTATGTTTTGAACCTCTCTCCCCCTCCCCCCTCCTCTTCTCAGTTGTATAACAGAATGTACTACGATATTTTCCACCGTTCTTAATATTTTCCGCATTTAATTGTTAAAAATATTTTTTTAAATTTCCATGACGTTTTCTTATGTTCAATGTAGTTTTCAGTTCCATATAGTTTCCCAACTTAAAAGATTTTAATCCTTTTGAAAATCAAGATAGAAGCTAACTTCCTTCCTTCTCCTATGATTCTCCACACGTTAATGGTGAAAGCATGCGAAGTGTTCCCATGGGTAGAGAGTTCTACTCTAGGCCACCTGTTACCCATTTCGATCGCCAATGGTGCAATAATACAAATACATATCTTTAGAAAAAATTAACGTTTGAGAAAAAAAAATATGATGTTTGTAACTATTAACAAAGACTTCTCATTCCATTTCAGCACAAGAACAATATAATTCACCGGGATTTGAAGGCTGAGAATATTTTCATCTGTGGAAAAAATACCATAAAAGTTGGAGACTTTGGCTTCAGCACTAGAGTACAGAACCCAAAGGAGCAGCTGTTGACGTTTTGTGGTTCGCCACCCTATGTTGCACCTGAAATTTTTCAGAACGAGAACTACGTTGGTTCCAGCGTAGATATCTGGTCCTTGGGTGTCCTTTTATACTTCATGGTTTCCGCCGCTCTGCCCTTCAAAGGAGACACAGTGTCCGTGGTAAAGCGGAAGATATTAGCTGGCCATTACAGTGTTCCTAAATTTATCACCCAGGAATGCACAGATCTCATAAATGGATTGCTTCAACTGGATCCCTCGAAGCGGCTGACTTGCAACCAAATCAAGAGCTGTCAATGGTTGAAAGGAGCCTTTTTTCCATCTCCCGGAAATGGGAAAAATTCCATTGTTCAAAAGGAAACCAAAGAATTTCTAAACAGTTTGGGGATAACTGAAAATATTTTGCAAGAACACTTGCCAAAAGGAGCTCGCAGCAATGTCAATGGAACCTACCGCATAATCAGTCACAAGAAAGAGGCATTGTATTCGGCAAATGATGGAAAACATCATAATTCCAGAAAGATTGTGATAAGCTGCCCAACATTTCAATCCAAAACATGTGTTATTGTTTAATTTTGTTTCCAACTTGGTTTTGTTTTCATAATTATTCAGTATTAAAAATATTTGTAATTTGATTTTGATTTCCTTGTAATAATTTAAGTTTTTTGTAAAATATTTTTTGTAACATATTTTTTGTGACATTAAAATTATATCCATCAAAAAATGTAGATATGTGAGTGAAGTGGGAAAATATGTAACTATTTATTTTATGTGTTTCTAATAGAAGGGAGATTTTTAGTTTTAAAATCGGTACAGCTCATTTTTTCCATTGTATATAGCTTTTAGAAACAGGTGTTTAGAATCTGTAACTACTTTATTCTTCAGCTTTCTTGAACAATTCCAATCAAAAATTACTCCTTTCCTTTGCTGATGTATTTGTTTAATGTTTATTGAAAAGTTAACCAAATTAAGCTTATTTACTTTTCCTAAAATAGTTCAATAATAAATTATTATAAAATTTAAAATTTTCCAGCTCAAATAGATAAATTAAAAAATCACTTTTGAGAAATGCTTCTCCATTTTTATAGTGTCTTAAATCACTTAAAAATAATATGATGTTGATGTATCATAATAACTTCGCAAGTATCTCCTTTTAACTCCACTCATTGCGGAGGCAGTGCTCGCAATAACCCTCCCACCCTGATTTAAGAAAAAAAAGAAGAAGAAAAACAGTAAAGCATGGATGAAACTTAAAGTGGTCTGTGGGAAAATTAATGTGATAAATAAGTATTTTATAAAATTTTCTGATTAGTTTCCGAATTATAAGGTTTTTCTTTCGACTCATTTTCACAATTAGAGCTCGAATTCAATAAGAATCAACAGCTTGCTAGAAACCAAATAAAACGCTCACAAATGAATGGTGATTATAGGAGAATTTCACCGCCAGCAAAAAAAAAGAAGAAAAAAAAAACAATATTTCCTTTTACCCAGGGTCACTATAGTTTGTCTACGGTAAGAACTCCCACCGCCACAAAGTCTGAGGCCGTCTGCTGCTATGGAAACAAGAATAGTGCATTTCTTCAAGGAAAGAAGCTTCTTTTCACTGTAGACAGAAGAAAAATATTACCTTTCTCTCGCCAACCCGAGCCAAAATCTGTCCTAAACAATGACCCCACAGCCCTACTTAAAATAGTTATACCTCTTTACCATAGTCATCGCCCCGGTTCCAGGTGAATGGTTAGAAGAATTCTTACTTTAGACAAACTATCCCCTCGTATTGGTATCGGTACCCCTTCTGTCTTCAATTATCCACGCCAATTCACTTGTTCAGTGGGTAACATCACCCCCACACACGTCAGTTCGAAAAACAAATGAATTTTTTTCACTTCAGTTCCGGAGAAACGAAACTTTTTTTCAACATGAAAGGTCGCAAATGATGAATTTTTTTTCGTTATGTGCAATATTTACTTCGTTTTAAACAAAAATAATGAGCAATATTTATCTCTAGTTCTGTGTTCGTATTAAAGAGAACATTTAAAAAAAGCTATATGAGTAAATATGGTCAGCAAGATTACCATGACACTGGATTTTCATAATGTAGTTATGTTTCGATCAAAATATGAAACTTGTTTTCTTTTATAAAGGTTTGAATTTCATAAATATATTTCCGCAACAACCAGTAGTGGGCCAAAAGGATCTTGAATATTAAGAATATGCTTTTGCTTTTCAACTTAAAGCAATTCTAATTGGGTAAATACACCGAAGATTTATTACTATTATTAGTGAACATAACCTTTTTCTCGTTTTCTTGATGGCACAGGAAAACTACTCAATAATTACCAAGGGGTAAGTAACAAAAATATATTTAAATCGTTAACATGATCAATACGGTACAATGGTAGACATTACTACTACTACTTTTCAATGTAGATGTTCTTGCTTTTTACAAAATCTTTGTTTGCAGTTACGGTTACAATCTAATGATAAACTCCGCCATCTATCGGTGGTTCAATAACAAGTAATTCTACATATGCCATTCGGTGGTGAATGACACGATTATGCCAATCTCGTAGGCATTTTTTAAATGCCTCCTTTGCTTCCCACTTTGACTGGTACCAATCGTTTTGCTGCTGAGCGGGCTTCAAGTATCGACTAAAGATAGAAACTCAATCCTAATAATAACAGATGTTATATAGCTGTTCTGTAAGCTAGATTAGTGCCTACAATTAAGCTTGCTTTGAACCTTCGCGGATTATTTGTCTTATTAAATGGTAATTTTTTTTCCATTTTATGTCTGTTTCAAGTCTCATACTTAACCAGTATCACACTGAAAGCAGCGTGATACTTATAAATGCTAAAATAAAAAATAAAAAATTTGGCTGAAGAATCACATTTTTCCCAAGAAACCACTTTCATTTTTTTTCTGCATTCCATTTTCTTTTAACTTTTAGTACGTAAGAGATAATGTAAAAATGATTTTCTGAAGAATTTTTTTTTAGATGAAATAGATAGAGTACAGCAAAGGTATGAATCCATGCTGAATTTATGAATCTTTAAATTTCAATCACGTTTTCCAATAAAACACATTTTTCAACCTCGTTCCGATTGATACTTCAGATATTAACCGAATAATATTTTGATTTATGTCAATTTAGATAATTATGTTTTCTGCAACGTAAGGCAGAATTTTTTTTATTTTTTATATCTGTTCTTTTAATGATCTTGTGTACACAGTGTTGCAGCTAAAGTAAGCTATCGTCATAAGTGTGGGGTCTAGGTAGAGTAAAAGCACGGAGCAATCACACCTTAAAAATGATACGGGAAAAAAAGTAAATTTCAAAGTTGTTCAGCTTCATCAATTTATAACAAAGAAAAAAAATGCTCACAAAAATCCGTAATACGATTTTGTTTCGAATCTCCTGCTATTTACTCGCTTTTTGATGTAATCCCACAAAGAAAAAAAACAATGGGTTTAGGTCAGTTAATCGTAGACACTGATGACTTACTGCTGGAATGTGTCCCTCCCGGATGTACTGTTGATTGAACATTTGATACCTTGTGCAAACGGTGAACCATATATTCCGGTGGTCACTCAACGGCAAATCTTTTCGAAAATCGGATTTTCAGAAGTTCGAAGTATCGGGATCCTGTTAACATGCCTTCGTCGAATACCTGGCAGATCAGTCTATGATTAAAAATTCCACACACTCCATTTATCAACCAGTGTACTTGATGTCGAACTTTGATAGCACATCTAGGATTATTCAGCGACCAGAAATCGATGCTGTTATGTATTTTTATCGTCAGTATAAATGCGCCTTGCAATAATTCAACTCAACTCAACTATTGTTATCCCTCGATTCTAGTTAGTCGTTGTCCAGCCTTTAATGATGACAAAATGTAATCATCACTTTCTCCTGAATAAAATATGATAAACCTTGATTCCTGTATGTAATAGATGCTCTGCTTATAGTATAGATTGCATTACCTGAATATGCATGCCTCATCCGTCCATATGATTTCGACAAGAAGCGTTGGCTGGACCTCCAAGTGGTTTATGGTGAAGTCTCTGAGAAACTCCTAAAATTATTTCGACAAATTAAAGTTCAGTTATAGAATTTCTGATTTAAAATGCGAAAAATAAATTTATGAACTTACTATTCTTAAAATAGATTTTATTAAATATTGTCGAATACTCGGGTTGTGAAATTTCAGGTGGGAAAAATATTTTTAAGCAGATATACTCTTAGACTAATTATACGAAACTTGGTAAGAATATTAAAACAAATTTGTTGATAGAGCATAGTTTTCCTGCTTCCCTGCGGCTTATGCAGTCATACATTTAATTTCTAATCAACGAAAGTATAGATAATGGTATGAACTACAACGGAGAGTACTTTATGAAAGAATTTTATTTAGCGTAAATATTCTAGATTTACGATTCAAACTTAGTGGTATGAATTTTTTATATTGCTTATAATTACTAAATCAAATTCACCATATTATTTTCAAATTTACGAAAGTACATGAGCCTTATGAGAGAAAGTAAACATTAAAAAAATGGCATTTTAATGAGACCAAATATTTCAAGTAACGATGACGCAAAAAGTTAATAGCTAATGTTATTTGCTTTATTTTACTGCTCTTAGGAATTGTGTAATTCTAGTTGTATTTTTTAAAATTTGACACCACAAGAACGGAAATAGATGGAAAAGTGTCCGATTGTTTTAAAATGCTTAAAAAATTTTAAAAATGATTAAAAAGTAACAACTTTTTCAGCTGCCAAAGCCATTCTCACTATACGCCGATATTCTTCGCTTAGGCAGAATTCTTTGCTTACACAGAATTGGCGACATCTGTAGCCACACCACGTTTTAAGCGAACGCGGTTTTTGAAAGTTAATTAAAAAATAACTAGCTATTAAACCAACGTGATATTATAAAGATGATCTTCTGAAAACCTTATTCAATTGTCAAAAAGTCAATTTCAAGAATAGGTTACTTCCTTATGGCCATTTGTATATTAAAATACATATAAAATTATATTTCTAATACATTATAAATATAGCACCATCACACATGCATTAGCATTTTGTGTACAATAAATAACATGATATTCACAAGTACTGAGTTATAAATACCGTTCGATAACCGATAGCGATACAGGAGAAAATAACATATATTGTGATTCAATATTTACCGGGTCAAAAATCTCAACTCTTTAAAAAAAGCTCTGTATGATATGAGGCTTTTCATAAATTTTATTTTGTGTTATAAAACTAAATTTGATAACAAATGATAATACTATACAATAATTGTCAGGTTAGCAAAATATAAACCTATAAGGAAAGGGAAGGTGCGAAATAAAATATACTTTAATAGGGGATGTTCCCCCATAATGCTGTTGCATTTTTAATAAAGCTTGTTTAATAGTAACAAAATCAAAATAGCAGAAAAGCCCTAACCATTCTGAATTTTTTACAAAAATGTACTAAAACTGCTTATAAAATTGCTTGAAACTTTTTAAATCTTCAAAATATTCAAATCGAACTTTATTCATAAGTTACCAAATACGACTTTGACAAAATTAAGCAAATTTTCTTAAAATATTTTTTGCTTATCCACAGTATATAAGGACTACTTTAAATGCTCCGATCCTGCTCAATTCCAAGTTTTTTTCTTTCAAATTTTAAAAATTTTTTCATTGAATATTTTTAGAGTTTTAGTAAGAAAATATCAAGAAAAAAATTCGCGATCGCAACGGACTATAGGGGGAGTTGTTGTATGAGACGCTTACNTTTTTTTTTTTTTTTTTTTTTTTTTTTTTTTTTTTTTTTTTTTTTTTTTTTTTTGCATAGAAAGTCCCCACCTCCATAAAGATTTCATAAAGATTTTCGATTTCATACAGATAAAGAGAGAAGAAAGAAGATCTCCATAAAGATTTACTAAAGTTTATGCAGTTAAGTAATATAACTTTAGTTCTGTTTTTTTTAAATTCGACACCCACGAGAACAGAAACCGATAGAAAAGTGTTTTCGAGGGAAAATATTTTCCATCAATCAGGTTCTCATTCTCCTTCACAGGCGAACGGAAGTGCGTGCACCGTATAACGACGTGAGAATGGTCCTTAAAAGCAGAATCTAGTCATAAAATTCGGTTACCGTCTAGAAATNTGGAACAGAAAAAATGTTCACGTTTTATTTAAAGTCGTGCAAGATTATTATAGATTTTATTATAAGTTCTGCTAGAAACCGAAACTAATTATTTAATCCATTTATTATATGAAATAATAAATTTGTGAGAGAAAAAATTATGTCTGAAATATATTCATAAAATATCTAGGTAAATGATTATAAAAAATCATAAAATATCTGGGTAAAAATTATCTTTGAAATCGGAAATCTAATTTAATCCCAGCGTTAAACGCATCCTATTCGATCGTTCGAATCGCTTTCACCAGCAAATTGTTAGGTGAAAGTTTTCCGATAGAAGGGAGGAAAAATGAAGATCGCAGCCCGTTAGCAAAATCCGTTCGAAAGCGCGAGGTTTCAGGTTTTTCCTAGGAGTAGAAACGTGACGTCAAAATGACGTCATTTTTCTCTTCCTAGCTCGTTCGAAGTCTGCGAGGTTTGAGCTCCATATCACCAGCAGAGACTGACGGACAAATCTTAGCGCGACACTAGACTTAGCTGTCCTCAATTTCAGATATTAACGCAGATTCATAGGCAACCAAAACAGTTCTTGAAGAATATTTAGTTTAAATAGTTATGTTTTAACCGTCTCTTTTGTGAATCTGGCAGTCTCGAAACTTTGATCGTTGCTTAGCAACAGTCGGAGTTTGGATTCCAAATAAACCTGTTTATTTATATTTCAAATAATAGTAATTTCAATTATTGATTTAAATGTGTATATTTTCTTTCTGTTGTAGTTTGTAAACTTAGTCTTCATTATGAATCCCTAAAAACTTTACATATGGAAACCGAAACACAGCAAAATAAGTTGTCACTCGTGAAGTATATTCCTCTTTCTAAAGAAAGAAACCTAGAGACTTTAAATAATCCTCAAACATTTTGCGTGTGTTTGAAACATGTTGAAGGTTTCCATGAAGTGAGAGTTATTAAAATTTGATAACTTAAGTTCTTTAGATTTGTTATTCAGATGTTTAAAATGTGTTTTGTCTTATCTGAGATTTGTACTTAGTGTTACAATTTCATGTTGCAACTGAAACTTTATAATTATCATTAATTTATTCCCTACATTTTTGCGTGTTATTTTTAAAATGTGTTTATTGAAAAAAAAAACACTTAGTAATAAGCTCCTTTTGTTTCACATTGTTTTGCTATCTGTTTAATTTAAGGAAGAGAAAAAATTAATACATTATTTTCAAAAATAAATGAAAGCTGTATGAGATAATTCATAATATAGTAACTTGTGTATTTTTTTTATTTCACAAAAAATCTTGCTATAAAATATTTTATAATTATTCAAACAAAATATGTTGTATGAATAATTAAATTTGATAACCTGGAAAATATAAAACTATAAGATTAATTTGAAAATATTTTTTAGGGAAACCTGTGTGATATAACAACTACAACATCCTGAATTGTTAAGACTTCCATTAAACCAGAAACTGAAATTTTCTGCATAATATTCTTTAAATTAAAAATCAGTATTTCATGTACTTAATTTTCTTACCTACATAAAATTTTGTAACAGTTAACAAATTTAATAAAATATTTAATTTTTGTTTTGTGAAAAGCAAAAGAGATTAATTTATTTTGAATGTTGAAAAAGTGAAAAAATTCATTTCTGGGAAACAAACGCCCAGATTTGGGACTCAGTATTTATAATTGCTAATTTTTCTTTCATATTTTTGAGTTTAATTTTTATACTTTCTATATTTAGAGTGCAAATACTGACAGCTATAGAATACAAACTGTTCTGTTTGATCAGAAATATGAAAGATTCCTTGGTAGTTTTTGGTCAGGAAAGCCTGTTATGACAAAAAATTCTCTATGTTTTTTAAATCAAGTAAGTTGTTGCATGTAAATATTATTTTTAGTTTGTGTTTTCTTTTCCTTATTAATTTCATTATACTTAATAATTTTTTGTTGTTGTTTTAGTTAAAGTTTTCTTTGTTACTGTTTTTCCTTTCAGCAGCTACTTTATCCCTATTTTAGCATCACAAATTTATCATGCATTTAAAATATTGTGCTTTTCATTGTATATTATTGTTTATTATAACTACTTACTTGATTTTAGAGATACAGACCGAGATTTTGTGCCCCGGTTAGGTCTTCAGAAATTGAAAAATTCAGTTTCTCTTTTTATAGAATTTTTAGCGCAATTATATTATTGTTAATATAGAGATTTCTCCGGTGGATTATGAAGGAAGTAAACATCAACTTATTTTGGGAAGATGAACAAATCATTAAACAATTATTCATCAAACATTGACTAAGTTTACCACTAGGAATTGTGTCAAACATTTACCTATATTTCTACATTGGCTAAACGAATTTCGCATAAATGAATTTACTTGATTTGCAAAAAACATTTTAAAAAACAAATCTTTTAATTACGTATAACTATGTTTTTTTTTTTAATTTAATGTAATTTTGTTTTATTTACAGAATTTTTACTTTTACACTTCTGTACCTGCCAAAGAACTTCTTCTTGTTATTGAAATTATTTCTGAGTCTAAAGACAATCAATGTAAAACATGCGGTTGGCTTTATTTACTTCTTGATGAAATCGAAGACGAAGTTACTTATAAGTAGTTATACATTTTTCTATTGTGTTAAAAACATCTTTCTTTCAAAGTAAATTTATTTGTGTTTTAAAATACAAAACTATGCATCATTTCACTGTTAATAACTAAATGCAGTTATGGAAAAATTTTTGAAACCACCATATATATGGTAGTCTTAAACGCAAAATGTTTTTTTTTTTAATATTTATTATAAAATAATGATGTTTTGAGCTTTGGATTAGTTATTTATTTTAGAATATGTTTTAAAAAAATTGGGAAAAATATTTTTTTATAAATATTAAAAAAAAGTTATTTTATGTGAATTAAATGAAAAACTATAATACAAAGAATATGAAATGTTCACAATTATGATGAAATGTACGATTTAGTGACAATAACACAAGCCAAAACATGAAACTGAAAATCATAAAGCCAAAAGAATATACCCTTAGATCCTAAACCAAACAATAAAATATCTATATATTTTTTTAAAAACACTATTAAGACTGAGGTTTTAATGTTAAGCACAATTGCTTACTCAGAAATGTGCTATAAGAGCATAAATGATAATTACACAACAAATTTATAAGCTTTTTAAGAGTTTACATGCACTTAAAAATTAAAATTATATCAATCGAATCATATAACTAAGTTATTTGACTCAATACCAATATTTTTGGTCATTTTATAAAGGCAGCTAACATATAATCTAAGTGATAACAATTAGAAACTTTAAATAACAATCAGAAACTAGGATTAAAACTTTAACCAGTATTCCTCTTTTGCGCTAATCACAATTAGTAAATGCTTGTTTTATATCAACAAAATGGTAAACAATAAAGTCAACGAGTAAAAGTATGTATTATATAATAATCTAAAAATTGTATAAATATATATTTTTTTACTTTGAATAATTTAATAATTTTATTACTATTAATTAATTTTATTTATTTGTTGAATGTTATTTACATTAATTCTTAACCAAATTAGTAAAGCACTCCCGCGATAGACCGTTGTTGACCTAGGGGACATTAAGTTAAAGTCACTACAATTTAGAGATGAACAGCATGGTAGTGCCACTGTATCTAGTATCGTTTACAGTCATATAAGCCAAATGAAGTTTTAAAAATCTATGCAACTATTTTTTTAAAAAAAAAAAACAATAAACGTAGAAGTTAATATTAACTAATAAAAGAACATATAAGGTAAATAAGTAAAAAAAATTATGTTTAAAATTAAGATGTTTAAGTTGTAGTTTTAGTTTTAACAATGTTTTTATCTAATTTTCAGATTGCCATTTATAAAAGGATCCTCTTCTTTTCTACTTCTTGATGTAATAGAAACTGAAAGAAAAGGTACCATAATACAAATTAATATAGTTATTTTTTCTGACCGTAGTTTTATTAAATGATTAAAGGAAAGGAAATTTATGGAGTTTATTTTGTTATTAAACTTCTAAGGAAATTTTTCATTTCTTTTCCATTATTTTTTATGACAGAATTATTATATTTTTAGATATTAACTTTGCTGATCATACAACTGGATTAGAAATTTCATTTTCATTATCTCCTCAGCATAATTTATTGGAAATTAGTCATTTACTTCCTGAAAATGTATTGATCGACCCTACTACGAAAATTCCAGGTGTATTGTCACAAATTGAAGCTACGGATGGTATGAATTTTTCAATTTTATCATTATAATTAATTAAGGATCTACTTTGAAACAATGCCACAATGTTTGGTACATTTTTTTTCATGATGCTGTGAAGATTAGTTATAACCAATGAGGAGAAAGTCATGGTAGCCAAAGTAGATTTTCATTGTTATTGCATTGTTACGGATTTTCATTGTTTGTAGGGGCATTAAGATTGTGATGTCACTAAGTATAATGTTATTGTTAGTGTGTTAAAGTTTTTTTTAATCAATAGTTGTATTATGATTAGAATTTTTTTATTTTAATGATAGTGTAGTGTGGTAAATACTAATAATTTTTTTTTCTTCATGAACATTGTTACGGCATGATTCCAAAGTAGATTCTGACATTTAAGTCAGAATTTTCAATTACTTCCAACAAATAAACTTTTACAAATATTATATTTTTACATGTAATATAATTTTTTCCAATAGTTTTTTTATATAACTTATATTTAGGATGGCATTTTTAAAAATAGCTCCATAACCAATTACAAAAGCAACATTTGCAAACTAAACTCCCTCCTTCATAGGTTGAATTGTTCCATAAGTCATTTTAGGGTCTAAAAATTCTAAAAACTTTTTTCTTTATCTAAAGCTAACTTTTTTCTCTATCTCTGAGAATGTATGGAGATTGTGTTTCACTTTTGAAGTGTATTTCTTTGGAATTGGCTTTCAAGTTTCTTTGTTTATGTGACTAGAATTTTGCTACATCCAAAAATGGCCTCAGGAAAAATTAGTGCAATCAATTTTTGCTTAGCACATGCTATTTATGGATTGTTGGAAAAAATATTGTTTGTTTATACATATGTTGCCAAATACTACTTTGAACTAAGGTTGAAATAATTAAAAAGTTAAAAAATTTTGATTTATGAAATGGTTTTTGCAAAATAAGGGTTGTCAAATTAAGATTATAATTTATGCTTTTTGATTTAGGGTACACAATTTTGTTCTTGTTATATTTATGTCCATTTAAAAAAGAATCTTTACAATTTTTTCACCTGAAATCAAATATTATTGTTATTGTTTATAAAAGTACTCTGAAAAATTGAAAAATGTACAAAAAAGTATAATTCAAAACATTACTATCAACCGTGATGCAACAAAATATTTTAGATGTATCAGCAAGTCAAGTATTTACTTAGAATTGTTTAATTTTTCCTTTGAAATATAAATATTAAAAGTGTTAATAGTTGGGTTGTATATATACAGGTTGATTACGAACAGCCACTACAAACTTTCATGAGATTTCAAATGAACAATAAAAAGATTAAAAGAAGACACTGATTGTTATTAAGGACCGTGTCCAAAGTTAAAGTCTTACATATACAGTGTATGGATGATAGAAATATTAAACTCCAGTGCATAGTTTAAAATTTTCCAAAATACTGTGTGTGTTCCAGTAGCTTACAAGATGTTTTTCAATACTGTTAATAGCAGTTTTGTACTCTAGCGTTTTGAACATGCTCCCCAAAGGAAGAAGGAAGAGTTGGGTCTGGCAATCGAGTGGACTAAAACTCTCTGCATGTTTCTTTTTTGTCTTTTGTGTAGTCACTTGCATGACAGAAAGGTGTTTATAACCAGGCATTTCAATATGATTTTTTATGATTTAACTGTGCAGTATCTCTCCTGAAACTGGTGTGTTGTTGTGTTTGGTGTGCTGTACTGAAAATCCTATATAAATTAGGTGAACTTAACTTCAGATTGTTGCACTTTTACATTCTATTTAAAGATGGAAGTGTATTTAAAAAATTTCTTTTTTAATAATTACTATGAATAAAAATTTTTTTTTTTATTACTTTTATCAGAAAATATTAGCTAGATCACAAAAGTAGTAATTTGATTAAATAACTCAAAAAATTTGCTAAAATAAATTTAGATTTTAATTAAATTTAGTTTGCTATACTTCTATATTTGATTTAAAAATGTATTTAAAAAGTATCTTTAATATGTTTAAAAGAACGTAATAATTTTTTAAACATTTATCAGAAAATACTGCCAAGGTCTCAAAATGTAAGGTATCTCTGAAGAATGCATGATTTTCTATGAGCCTATTTCAAAGAGATCTTTTGTCTAAATTTTTATTTTATAAAAATTTAGTTCATTTTGAAATTATAAGAAATAACCTAGGAAACATTTTGTAAAGGAGTTTGTTTTATAAAGGAGTTCTTTCTATCATGCAAAACTTTTTCAATAGCATGAAATCGCTTTATGGAAACTTTATAATTTTAGATCATAAAGATTAACATACAAAATAATATTATATTTCAGTCCATTGATAAATCTTCTTTTAAAAAAAAGCTAAATGACATGCAGCACTTCAAATTATTAGCAATTTTTTCTTTTATTTATAATCTTCCAGATTAGTATTTGTTAAAAGTTCTATGTCTCATGTAATATTTAAATTATTTTTTTCCAGAAATTAATATAAAATTATCAAGATTTAGAAAAATTTTAATCAATAAATTTTTTTATAATTTTTTATTTTGTTTATTACGTTTCAGGTGTATGCATTTTTTTAACTTTGCTTTTTTGCATAAAAAATCTCTGTACTCTTTTTCTGAGTTTTGGTTTTTTAGCAATATTAACCATTATTATAATTTTATAAACAGTCAAAGTTTTATTTATCTAAGAGTGAATAATAATTTACCTATTTTACAAGATTGTTGCATAAATTTAAAATTTTAATCCAATTACTTCATCATCATAAATAAATTTTCGAAAACTGTTTTAAGAATTATAAATAAATTAATCGAAATATTTTTTATCTAGATGATGAGTATGCTTATCAACCTCATCTTCAAAAATGCATAACCTTTGTATTAGAGAGACTTTGTGTCAGAATGCAGTCTCCTCTTAGTTTGTTTGAAGATGAAATATTGCAGAAAGTTCAAGCTCATTTGAGTGCAGTTAAACCAGATGAAACTCTGTTAAGAACTCGTTTAATACAACGAAGATTACAAGTATGTACAAATCAGAGTTCTTGTGCAGATCTTTTTTCATACATAAAGCGTAATAACTTTTTTATCAGCTTTCATGAGTTGATATTTCAATTTCATGCTTTGTGAAATGGATTTTTCATTTTGTTTCAAAAATATAATAATATATACTTTTTGTGTCATTAAAACTGGTACTAGTAAAACAGATATTACCCAAATATCTTTAAAAACCTAAATAGTAGTTTTTTGTGTTCTTGAATTAGCATCGGGGATTATTGTATTGTCATTATAATGATTATCATAATTAATGTGACGTAACTGTCTTCCAAACTCATTAAAGAATGGCATTATAAGAAGCTTATCTGAAATCTTCATAATCAGATTGAATCCAATATCAATCCATGACCAAAATCAATCCTCATGTTAATAATCATATTCTAAGAATTCATTACAATTTAAGCTGCAGAAATTCATCTTGTGGGAATAGTTGATCATTTTCAGTGTTAGCAATAGGGAATTAAAACCTTTAAACCCTCCTTAGTGTACATCTCGGTAGTAGAAATCCTTCAGCATGGCGTCGGGGACTGCAGTTTGTTCGAGCATCTGCAGATCTCTCAGATTGAAAAAAAAAATATGTCATTACACCTGAAGATATTTTTTTCATCTCCGATTTTAAAAAAAGGCACGAAATGTTGCTAATAGGAAAAACAGCAAAATCATGTTTAATTCTTAAAAACTCAATTGCTATTTGTTTCAGGTTCTAAACAAAATCTATTTGACAGTGAGCAATCTATTGGAAAATTTATAAGCAAATGCAAAGTGATAACTTGAAAAAAAATTCCAAAAAAATAATAATCTCCTTTCTCTATCTCTCAACATAAGAAATTTTAAAAAGTAAAGGATATTTTTTTTTGAAAAAGTTTCATTTATTTTATTTATTTAAAAGTGTTAAGAAATTTTCACGAAAATTGCAAATTTTTAACACTTTTTCTTGTGTATTAATTTATTTATCTCAATTGTGCTAATTTCGCTGTACACACGTCGTTTTAAACCTAATATTTACAATAATAGTGTATCAGTCTATGTTAGGCTCACAAACTAATTTTTATCTATGAAGATTATGCTGCGTATTGATAGGATAAATTTTGCTACTGGGGTGTGCATTGTTATCACCATCGATGCCTTCTTAACTTAAAAAAAAACTTTAAAGATGCTGCATCTCTTATAATCAGACTTAATGGTCATGTCAATTAGTATTTTCTATAAATTCATTGAACTAGTGCAAGTTTTAAGTACTGATCAAACATAAGGGGTAATTTTTAGTTTTCTGATCTTACTATTTGAGATATTTTTTAACGAAAGTTGCATGATAAAAAAATTTTTTAACTTCATTTTGAATAGTTTTGGAGATATTGTTAGTAAATTTGTTTATACAAATTTAGAAAGTTTTTAAATTTAGAATATTATCCGGTTTCTAAATGCGTGTTGATTTTTTTTTAAATTTGCAGATAATATCCTGTTTTTATGCATTTTCATTTTTTTAGGTTGCTGTACATAATGGATTTCATTTTATACAAGAACCTGATTTTTACAATCTTCTTATTCCAACTGCTACATCAAATAAAACTCTTAGAAGAGCATCCAGCTTAGGCTCAGTAAAGTATGCACATGATTTTGAAATAATTTGATTTAGATGATAAGTAGTAATTATTCATGATTTGATTTGTTATGTCCTTAAAGTATTACCTTTTTCTAAGTTTTTTAATGTAATATGTTTTTTAAAATTATATTTAATTACCTAATCCCTTTCTTGATAAAAAGAACAGCTAACTAATTATTATTGAATCTGACACAGCAAATTGATGTAATATTCTGTTTTTTAAATTTTTTTTAGTTAGTAATACGTTATCATAAATATGCAATTATACAATCTGTTATATGTTTACTATGATTCTGTAAATTCTAAATTATTTAAATAGAGAGTTTGTTTTAATTAACCTTTTGTCTAACAGGTCTCAGGAAATTAAACTCATGGCATGTTTCTGTTAACACTATTATTGTAAAAAATAAATAGTACATTTGGTATACTGTTTGTGCAAAAATCTATATACTCGCTGTTTTTATAATTTATTTTGATCTAAATTTGATGTTTTTTTTATATCAGAATGTATTTCTGCTACATAAACTGCAAATCCGAAGGTGTTGCACAGCACTCAAGTGCTAACAAAATTTTTCCTGAAACGAAAATTATTGCACCATTTTTGCATAATTTTTTTTTATCAATACTCATCTGGTACTATAAAAGCTTTTCACTTGAAGTTCTCTTATTTTCATTTTATTGCATCCTTTATGATTTTTTTTGCCGTTTACCGAAAGCAATTCCAAATGTTTTTATTTGTATGTTTTTTTTCTTCTTTTGTATCTTAAAAATCAATTTAAGAAGTATTTAGTTTTCCCCTCGATATTACTATATTTATTCTCTAGTTTTGCCTCTTGATGATTTGCTTTGAAGCTATTTAAATTTACTCAATAAATTCACATTGTCAATAGTTTTTTTCTAAGTTGCCGCAGTTTTTACGTATTATTCTAAACAATACTATTTGACGTCATCTATGAAACTGAATGTTGATTTTAATAGTATGATGTTAAAAAGGGAAAATAAGTGAGCATGATAGATATATGGTCAATAAAAGATGCATTCTTTTCAAGTAAACTGCTGAAGTCTTAAAAATACCGGAAGAATTTTCTTTTGGAAGGAGGAAAATAATCTATCCAGGGGGGAAGGTATTTGCTTTGTGAACTTAAAAGGTTAAAATTGTAAGAGGGACAAAGGAGAAAATGATGATAGTTTTTCACTTTTCTGTGTGGAGACAAAAAATAACTGAAAATGTCTTTCATTAGACCTTTTTGCATAATATTTAATAAGCATATTTTCCTCAATTTTTTTTCTGCAGTAAAGGAAGGCTAGTAAATTTTTAACTTCTTATAAACATACAATTTTTGTATTTTTAATATTAGCATTTTGATGACGACTCAAAAATTTGTCATAATATCAGACATCTAGTAACATGTTGTTCTCATTACATCAAGATTTTACTGCATATCCTATTACTATTTCAAGTAAATAATTTATGTTAATTAATTGTTATGAATACATCATTTACCATTGAATCATAATATTTTATAAAAAATTGTTTATTTTAATTCTATTACTCCAATTTCTATTCTATTCTCTATTATTATTCTATTAATTTCTATTATATTCTATTACTGTAATATTTTATTGCTCTAATTATAATTTATGGTGTCTTTTTGCTGTATGATAAATGTTGCTATTATAATTTTAAAAAATATTAATAATAATCACTGTTTTAATTTATTTTTAGTGTCAGTGGGGAAGAAAGATTAGTTCTAAGGAGTGATGTTAAATTGCCAAATATTCCTGATGATCCCAATATCAATATTGTTTTTCTTCTTGAATACATAGTAGCTTTGGAAAATTCTCAGGAAGTAAGATCAAATAGATTTTTCTTCTACTTACTTGATACTTAAAAACATCAGTTGTTTACTAAATGTCACTTAATATTCTTAAATTCAGTTTGTAATAGAAGCTGAATGCTTCCGGACTTTTTTTGAATGTAGATAATTTTCGGTACAGTTATTTCAAGTAATTCAACAGCTAAAAGTTTTGGGCTTTGAAAAGAATTTTTATTTGATGCATGTACAATAAATTTCAGAGTATTTGTGACATCGGGGGATGGGAGAATTCTGCCTATAATTCACAAAATGGTCAGCTAATTATAACCTGTATTTATATGCATTTTATAGCTCTAAAATTTTTTTTCATTTGTAACCCTGGTCTTTTCTAATAACATTATTAAAAAATTGCATCATTTTCCCCCACCAAAACACCGCCTAAGAAAATGCACTTGAGCGAAAAACGGTGGCACTGGGGAGTGAATCACGTGAGTTTTACTCGGTAGTTAAGGGGTTAATAAAAATGTCGATAAAAACAAAAGTTTTTTAAAAAAGAAAAAAAATTGATTGAAAACAAAACAAAAATCGTTCTTAATTTTAAAACCAAAAATTTAACTCTAAAAATCTCAATTTAACTTTTTCACATTGCTCTATTTTTAAGAAAAGTGACGATAAAAGAATTACATTCTATGCAAACGTTATTTAAAAAATACTCTATCATAATAAAAAAGCTGATAAAAGGAAAAATTAATATAAAGGAAAAGAGAAGCAGAGGAAATGTTCTTATTTCTTAAAATATAACTTTAATGGTGAAAATCACAGCTATCTTTGTTACTGTTTATAAGTCTTACCATACAGGGGAATTGTGGCAATAAAAAACAATCGTCTTATCAGAAACGCTGCATTAAAGTACTGCACTTGATGATATGGTGAAAATCACAGCTATCTTTGTTACTGTTTATAAGTCTTATCATACAGGGGAATTGTGGCAATAAAAAACAATCGTCTTATCAGAAACGCTGCATTAAAATACTGCACTTTTATAGAAACAGGGAAACAGCAAAAATGAGGAAAAAAAAACTTTCCAATTCTTAAAACAATATGTGGTGAAAAAAATGACAATTTGACTTGCCTGAATATAATTATTAAAAAAATCAGCAGTTCAAATTTAAAAAAAACTTTGTCAAAAAATGCTTTTTCAAAAAAATTTTTGCCGAATATTTGACCAAATATTCGGCAAACAGGCCGAACATGCTGAATATCTAATAGGGGCCTAATATTCATTACATGGTAAACAAGTGAGGATTTTTATTTTAATTTAGTTTCCATATTTTATTTAAATTTTATCTATGGGCTAATTCTGTTTTTTAAAAAATTTATCTTGTAGTCTTAAAGACAGATTAAATAATTTATATTGAAGGTATACCTATTTTTCAATCACATTAACAGTTTTATTAAATTTTAAATTTATCTTTTAGCTTAAAAAGTTATTAGTTGATTTTTTAATGCAAATTTACGAAAATTAGTGACTCCATAAAAAACATTTGGATGAACTAAACCCTTAGAAAGTCCTTTTTTAATGATGTACCAAAACGTTTTACACAATAGTACATGAAAGCTTAATTTTTCCAATCTACTGCCTTTTTTTGAATGCATAAATTCAATTTTATTTTATATAGCAATGTATATAATTATATTGTGTGCTTTTATGTAGTTTCAAAAAGTTTTTGGTTTAAAAACTGCAGTTAAAAATTCTGCTTTAAAATATAAATTCTTTCATAATTTCAAAACTTTATATTTGCCATGAATTCAGATCTAGTTGATGTAATTATATAATGCTTATTTTTTACCATTAGTTTGATATTATTCATATATCTTTTAGTTGAAATTTTTTCCCTATCATTGTGAAAATAATTTAACTTTGATACTATGTTGTATGCACTGTATTTTATATGTAGNACCAATAATAATGATATGCATGAGAAAAAATCATGTTTATTTGAAATTAGATGCATAGAAACTTCAATTAATTGTCATCATGCAAGTCAAAATGTCATTCCGTCACATATGGAATTGCCCTATATTGTACTTTTGTCTATTCAGTTTTATGTGATATCTTTTATGATATTTTTTATGTAAATTTATTATTAATAGCTTTTATGGTTACCTTTATGAAACATGTGATCCCATGAAAGTGAAATCTTTCTTGTTTGTTTCTTTTCTTGTAAAAAATAATTATACTATAAATAAGTATATAACTGGCTTAATAAAAAAGAATTAACTATACATTCTATTATATATATCAAGAATTGATAAAAATTTCTTATTATTCATATTATTTCATTAAGAATTTATATTTATGTTTTTATATCTTAATATTGTGACAATGCTTACCAGCATTTAGTATTAGTTTTCTAATATTAAATATAAGGCTCTAAATCTTACTTAAACCCTTTTCTTTTAGGTGCAAATGTCTGCCACTTCAGTAACTAAAAATCCTATTTGCCATATGATTATTGCATGGGGTTTCTGCAGTCTCAAAATATTGCTGAAAAACCCATTTCAGTCTATTGACTTGTCTTGTGATCCTACTTTTGCTCCACATAAAATAAAATTTTTAAGAACTGAAAAAGATTTGAAACTCTCATTTTCAGCCTCTTCATTACTGAAGCAAGTGAGTATTCAGAATTCTTTTTAATACTTTTTAAACAATGTTTGATATCATTTTATGCTAACAATTTATGCTAACAATTTATGCTAACAATTTATGTTTGTTATCATTTTCGATCCTTGAAGGAACACCATACTGAAATCTGAAGCTTTGACATCTTGAAACTTCAATTTTTATTACGATGTGTAAAAAAAAAACTATGTATCTTTATTTAAACTTCTTAAAAATAATCCTCTAATTTTGTGCCCATTGTGTGGAGGGTTTTCATATTTTACCTCGATGATAGTCATTCTGTGTATATTTATTTTTTATTTCATTATTATATTGTTTTCTGTTCTAATATTCAAATGTATTTCTCTTTATTAAAATTTTCAACTACAGTTGCACCTCTATTTAACAAAGTCGCTAAATCCCGATAATAAGTTTGTTAGAACGAAAATTCGTTAAATAGAAAATCCCCTTCTGAAATACTTAAACAACACAAAACAGGATTTAACTGGTAAAGCAGGTATAAATCTTACCATAAAAGAAATCTGCATGGAAAGAAAAAATAGAGCAAAACATTATCGAGTGTTACACTATTATGCTACATACATTTTCAACTATAAAAATGCTACATTTATGTACAAAATTATAGCTGAATTTATTATAAAAGTGATTTTAAACTTACATTTACTGCATGCATTAAGTTTAATTGCTACTGATAAAATCAGTTGTTTTTTTTGTGGAGTTTTTCGTTTGAATTGCAAAAAAAAAGAGAAAGGTATTTTACTGCTTTCTCTAAAAGTTAAGTAACTGCGAAAATCAATTCAAGGTCATTTCACCCATGAAATGCTTTAACAAGTTTGAAATGTTCTGAAATATTTTTGGAAAGTGGATCTAGGAGAATAGTTCGTTAAATAGAAAATTCACTTTGCTATTTGGAAGTTATTTTGCAAAGAAATTTCCGAAATGTTCTTGGTTCCTCCAAAAAAACTCGCGAAATGGAAGTTTGTTAAATAGAAGTCCGACTGTAATATTCTTTATCATCATTTAACCCTTTGAATATGGGACTCTCATGCTTTCCTGCTGACAAATATGTTTCTACTTTATGTTCATAAAGGAAAGGTGAGAGTTCTTTTATCTATTTTGCATAAAGGTGTAACCGTCTGTTGCTTAAATTTTCGATAACTTTTTTTAAAACACATAACATTATGAAAAATTTATATTTAGAAGAAAAATTCAAGTTTGTCATCACCACCATCAGAGCCGCATGAACACGTTTATAGTTCTCCAAGTAAATCTGATTCATCTGTTGTATCCTCTAATGTACCCTTTTTAAAGCATGTTTCAAAGTACAAATCTGTTGCTGATATTCCAATGTAAGAATATTTTATTACTTATAATACATATAAGTAAATATAGTTAATTTTTCTATGATTAATGTCCTTAAGTTTTATTATATATCCCCTCTGAATAGTTCTTTTTATCTTCTTTTGTACTTATAATGTATTGACATATTAAATTTTATTGCAATGATTTTAATATATATACTGAATTCCAGGTCAGTAGAACATAGTAATGGAAAGAATTTTGAAAAAGTAAACTCAGTTTACAAAAATGATAATGTAAGTAACAGTTTCTAAATCTTTGAAAGAAATTTTTATTCTGTGCTCACCACTTTCTGTTGTTTTTGTAGAATCTCTCTTTACAAGAAGTTGTATTGGTGCCATCATCATTACCACTGATACCACCCCTCCTACTTTCATTTCCTTTGTAAGTAGTTTTATAAGGAGTTACATTTTATTTAATTTTGGATATTTACTACCCAATACTAAGAACAGAGTGTACCAAACTTCATGCATCTTCTTCGTCTTTAAATATGTGCAACTTTCTCTCGCAGTTTAAGCTTAGTAATTAGAATGAGATCAAAAGGCAGCTCTTAAAATTTATATTGTTTATCAAAGTAAATATTGCATTGTATATTATCATAAAATCTCTTTTATAAATAAATTTTGAACAAACAGTTGTAACAATACAATTCTCCATGATTACTTATCTTGTTTTGCATTTTGATATGTTCTAGCATATAGACAATCCACCTTTGTTTGTCAATATATATTTTATAAAATACTATTATTTAAAATATAAATTGTTTTGAGTTAGGCCGACTAAACTTGGTTGTTTCTCTTTTTTTCCAATATTTTGAGTTTAAAGTCATTTTTTCAAAGATGTATTGACAAATAAAAATGTATCAGTGAAAATGTGTAGGTTTAATCAATATTTACCTACTATAATTTTAAAAAAATTCCTGTTATGCTTTAAAATGAACAGTGGTCAGAAAAACTACATTATTTTCATAGTCAACTACAACTTCTTTATTACAAATGTAGTTAACTACAGTTAGCACTACTTCTTTTTAAAGTAGTGACTAAAAACTACTTTTGAAATGTAATCACTACTTCCCTACTTTTAAGAAACGAACTTTTCTCAAGAACTTAATTTTCACCTATGTTCAAAACGGTTTTGAATAAAAAAATTTTTTTACTTACACATGAGTGATTATTGAGAAATATTATAAAATTATTCAGAAATTATTAGATTTATTAAGAAATTATTATAATTATTAAGAAATATTTATATGATTTTTTACCAATTTGGTCTTTTTATGCCTCTCTTGACTGAATATTTGATTAACGTAATGTTAGGAAATTTTTGAGATATTATCAATTTTGTAAAGCATTTAATATTTTTTTTGTTGCTTCGTCTAAGAATTAAATTATGTCAAAAATTGCGTAGGAAATGTAATTCTTTCCATTGAAATAACCTCACTTATTCATGAATGTACATTTTCATTTGAAAGCGCGATCATAGTGATTAATTAACTATTCTTTACAATGGCTGCTTTAAATGTTAGTAATACATAATTCTTATTAGTAATTCATTATTCTTATATTCCACAGGAGCATTCATGTTATTTCCGTTGATGGTCCCACAAAGATTTGTACCACTCAAATTCAAAAAATAAATAAATAAAAAAATATTTGTTGTGTTTAAACCCTGTTTCCTTGCTGAACCAACATTAAAAGTAGTTGCCAGGAATCACTACCAACTACTGTTTTTTGTTCACCCCTCACTACCCTTTTTTTTCCTCTTAAAATGAAGCAAACTACAGTTGAAACTATGAAAAAGAGTTGTAACTAAAGTAGTTTTGCTACTTGTAGTGTGCTAGAGCCTACCATTGACAACAAAATTAAAATTGTATTTAACAGATCATATTCCTAGTCCTTGAATTTTCCTAATCTGCAAAAGATTGTGTGACTGAAATTTTACAGTGTATTGTTTCTATTTTAATTTCTATAACGAATTACATTTTTATAAAAGTATGTAATTTCTGTAATTAATTACCAATAATAAAAGTATTATTTTCTAATTTAGGCGTAATGGAGTGCCGTCAGGAACTTTTATTAAGCTCTACTGGGATAAACTTCCATCCATTCTAGATCATCACGGAAAGCCTGCATTTTTTATTGACAATCCAATGAAGTATAAAATTGATGCAGACATTGAATTGCATTGTCAACCCCAGAAGAATGAATGCATGCTTAATTTTATTGCCATCTCTTGGTAAGTTATGTGTATTTTTAGCTTCTCCAATAAGATTAAGAAAAATATTGATATAATTAAATAGTATTATGGAGTGACTTTGAAGTAATTCAATAAGAAAAAATTTACTATAACAAAACGAATCTCTTACTAGCTACATTTTATACTGAGATTTTTAAAAATCTACCTTAGTTAATCTTTTTCTTTTGTTATTGATTTGTTTGTTAATTTATAGTTTTTAAAATTTTTTTATGATATTCAAACTCTAATTATTTATTTCATAGGACTGTATTGAAACAAAGCTTTGATATACTTATATCTTTACACTTATTGGTTGATAAAAAAGACTGTCTGAAATAAAGTAAATTTGTGAATTTTTCATAGTTTTGTGATTAAATTTTGTACTTAAATAATTTGAAATTATTTCTTGAATGATGGGAATTTATGTGCGTAATTTTATTACACTCAAGTACCTAAATTTGCATGATTCAAGTAATGACATGTAAATTAGGGTTATTTTTTTAAAATTAATTTTGTTACTGTAACTTTTTATTTACCTATGCTTAAATTATTTCTTTTCATTTGTAGTTTAGATGAATATGTAGAAATACCTTGTGAAGTCTTTTTCACTTTTCAATTTTACAGATTTCTTCCAATTAAAACAGAAAGGTAACTTATTTTTAGTATTTGTTTAGTAAATATGTAATTTTTCTTTCTATATATTCATTCAGAAAAAAATCATTATTAATTCTTACATATTTATTAAAAATAATGTAACGTTTAACTTTTGATAATATTATTTACAATTTTAAAATAATATTATTAATTATATTTTAGTTAATATATATTTTATAATTTTACATATTTTGTCAAAAATATTGTATCCAATATTAATATGCTCTAGTACTTGTGCAAAATGTTTTGGTAACTTTGCTACTTCACATTCTATCTTAGTATGCAAAAATGTATTATCCGCATAGAACACTGTCCATACTCCATATCATTATCATTGCATTTAAAAACAAACAAAAATTTGTTTTTGTTGAATACTTAATATAACTAACCATTAATTGCATTAAAATTGATACTCACGATGGATATTTACTTTTAAAAGTATTAAAAAAAATTACACTTTTTTAACTCAAAATATTTGAAGAAAAATTGCAAATGAATGTTTGTAACCTTTTTTCTAATACTTGACAATATCAAAAATTTATATTTATCCTTTGAGTTACATTAATTTAAATTTGCTTGATTTGAATGTGGTTAATGGTTAACATATTTATGTATGTAATGTTTACTGCTTGGTTAAGGTATTTATTCGACTCAATTTTGGTGATGTTATAAATGGGTTCATCACATCAATTTTCAGTTCTTTAAGGTGAATATTATTTAAAATTGCTAATGAAAGTAAAGTAGATTCACAATAAATGTTTTTCAACTCTACACTTTGTGTTTAAAAATTTCAAAACTATGATCTGATAAAATTTAATCTTTGGATATGTTTAAATCCTAAAATAATTTGTTTTTTAGAACAAAAAATTCTTTTATATTACTATACCAAGTTATTATTTTTTGTTATTGTTCTTCCAGTCTAGTTTTGAAGCAACTCTCTGACAATGAAGATTTAGGCCAAAAACAGTCTTTTGTATTTACTTTACATGGAAAACAAGACAAAGGAGACCAGATGCCTGGTTTCAATGTTTGTATAGAATACTGGACTTAACATTTTCTTTGAGAAATTATATATCTGTGTTTTTTATTATTATTGATTTTAACTTCAAATATGATTAGTCTTTCTTCCCTTATAGGTGACTTATAATTTAGATCCAACAGAACTGAATCCGGGGGAGTACAAATCATTCATTAATTATCTAATCCATCACTCTCTTCATGTTGATTTATGGAATGCCCAATCTTTATTATACTTTGGAACAGTAATGCTGCCATTGAAGGTGGGTAAAAAATTGATCTTTATGGTGTTCTTTCATTTAGGTTTATAATTTTTTTTATGTCTTTGTACATTAACATCTGGATTTTTCTTTCTAGATAAAACTCAAAGTTGTTATGTATCTCATTTATCTTGATTTGTAAACATTTTTTTTATTGTTATGTATGATTACAAAAATGCCTTTTCTATTTTAAAAGACATTGTCAGGATTAACAGCAAAAATGTGAATGTGAAACTATTTTATTGTTCTGATTTCCTAATACGAAAACATTTTTGTTGTTGTTGATTTCTCTGTTGAAAAATCGATAAAGGTTTTGAATAGTTTGTAATGATTAAAGCATAAATAAAAATGAAAATATTAAGTTAGTAAAGGTTTATAAAAATTGTCATTAATTTTTTTACTGCAGTAAAAATAGAACATTTATAAAATTTAAATGTCTTCCAATTCGATATTAATCCGATAATTTTGTGCAAAAAAACTGTAATTTAGTTTACTAAATCAACTATCATTTATTGTTTTTCCATCGTTTTAAATTAGAAAATAAGCAAATCTTATGATTCTTTTCTATTTAAAAATAAATAAATAATTAAATAAAATTGTAAACATTAGAGACAAGCTAAATTTTAATTTGTTGTTTAGGATTAAAATCTATTAAAACTTATAAAGAAAAATGTAATGAATTATGTAATGTAATAAAATATCCAGAATCAAAGAGATTTTATCTGCCTCTTCTAAAACTAATAGGAACAAAAAAAATGTGGTTGCCTAGCAAGCTCGCCTGAAATTATTTATATATTTTTTAAGTTTCTTTAAATGATAAATTTATTAATACAAAGAAAAACTGCATATGTAGAAATCGGGGTCCTGCAACTGTATTGAAACCCTGCTGGAAAATTTAAAAAATAGTATGCAAAGTATCCTATATTTGCTATGATTAACTGTTTTGTCAAAAAGTTTCATTGTGCTACAAGCTTTGCTTTTACATTTTTCAGTTTTTATGTAGGCAAGGTAAGGAAGCTGTGTCAACAGTACTAGAATTGGATATTGTTAATTGTGAATTTCTGGATGAAAGTTTGGCACAAAATTCAACTTCCATTCGGAAATCACTTGGTAAATTACATGTAAATTTAGCCAGTAAAAGGCATCCCCTGTCTTCTAAGGCACTCGAAAATTATGAAGGTATAAACCATATGTTAGTTTCAATTTTTTTAATTTTTTTTATTCTACATTTGTGTTATTGCACTTTTTAACTTTATTTATAATTTTAAAAGATATTTACATGAATACATTTTATTTTACTTGTTAATTTTAAAAAAATTGGTTGCTATGGAAAATTTTTGGTTCCTTTAAAAAACAATTTGTTGATGGTTTATTTATTTCAATTAATTCTATCTCTTGATGAATATCCAATGATTTGAATAATCAATAAAAGAAAAATTGAATTGGATATGAAATATTTACTTTGCTGCATTCTATTTATGAAACTAGTTATATTTATTCTCTCAGAGTTTTGAAATTAGTTACATTGCCAGATCAGATTGCCGAGTTTTAAAATTAGTAAATCAGTTATGTACAGTGAGACCTCTGTGTTCCATGGTAAGATGATCTTTTATGGATTATAGGTTACCTCCATTGACTTAAAAATGTGATCAAAGATACATGATTTTTTGCAAACAATTTAAATTTTAGTCAGTAATATTTTCTTAATACGGAAATGCCACTTGTGTTGACGGCAGGAAAATCGATAAATAAAATTTTGCGTCAATGAAAATGCTCCCTACTGATATAATTATGTGTTAAAACAAATTTACCAATTATGAATGATAGGAATATTTTAAATAAATAAACAATTATGTTTAAAAGTTGCATTTAATTTTATATCATAAAAATTAGTTTGCTTTATAAGATTTAAAGAGATTTGCTTGTTCGAGATGCTTGGTTTTTTCTAAAATTTTTTTTTCTTCTTCTGTTTAACTTTCAATTCTAAAAATAAATCGTTGATAAATCAAAAACTAATCATTCAACTCAAAAAATAAATAAATCATCGTCTTTACTGTACTTTGACTGTAACATAAGGTTGTGAATCTCTTTCAGAGATCGTCAATAAGAGCTTTCTAAATAAGAGTCTCAAACAAATATTTAGAATACATTTTAATATACTTTTTTTGTTTTGTTAGTATTTTTATTTTGATATTTTTTCATGTTTCCTTATTTGACCTTATCCTTATTTGGTGCAGATGCTTTATCCAGTCCCTAGGAGAGGTTTTAATTCTTCAACACACAAGGTCTATAGAAAAAATTCTGTGCCTCCCAAAACTAGTCATAAATTGAGCTGGTTTCAATGTATATCAAAAGATAGTGCATTTAGATAAGAAAAACTATAAAACAGAGTATTAATGAAGCATGCCAGAGTATTCCAAATGTTATAATCATCTGTTTCACAATCATCTGTTTATTTTTTCCTTGATGCTGCTACTTTTAATCCTAATTGTTGTGACATTTTTGTTATTTTTATAGTCAGTTTTGCCATCTGTTGAGGATCTTTGTTACTAATTTTGGAAACTTGGTGATAATAAACTTGTTTCTTAAGCAGTTTGTAGCAAATTCTACTTTTCTGTCTCCTTCCATTTTTGTTTAATTAAATTTTCCAATTATCTTCTATTCATAGTCTTTATATGCTGTAGCAACTGCAATAATAAAATCTTAATCTCAAAAATATAAAATTCATATTATCTTTAATATCAATATTAAATAAATAAGCCTTCTTCCATTAAAATATATCTCAGGCTGACCTTTTTTACATATTAAGTTAATTCTTAAGAATTTTGTATAAGGAAGAGAAATAAAGTGAAATATATCGCAGGTTATCTTTAATTTTATCTGTATCATATTTTTCTTCCTTTTTAATATGGGAAACATCGATGATATGATTACAATGATATGGCTTTGGTATATTATGAAGAAATATATTTTATTTTTAGTAATATATTATTGAAATAATTTCCTATTGTTAAATATCATGTTTGAATGGTAATTAAAATTTTAAAGTCATCTTGTTATCTGAATGAAGTTAAAAGTTGTCATGTGTACCAAAAAGAATTTAGAAGTGTATGTAATGATAGTTCATTAATAAGAGATTTTAAATTTGAATTGTATTTTATCAATTATAGGGTTTTCTTAAAATTGTTTCAATGTTTATACATTTTAATTTATTCTGGAATATACTGCTTTTATTACAGACTAGCTGAATACTCGTTCTTCATATAGGGTAAAGAAATAGTAACTAATCAATAAATCTGCATTTACCCACTAAGCATTATTTGTAAATAATCAATACTACACAATTATGCACGAAATTGAAGGCCCTTTACCAACACAATATAAAATATTTCAATTTTATTATTGTTATTGCATACTTGTTGTCCTTTCCAGTGGCTTAACATTAATAGATTAAGCAAAATTCGTTTTTAGAAGTTCAATTCATTATTATCATATCATATTTATCATTCATCATTATTGTCGAAGATGATGATATTGACTGCAACCCACTAACGTTAGTCGAAATTTATCACAATAAAATTTTTTTTTAAATAAATTTGTTAATTTTTTTCATTCCATTTACTTTACATTTTTAGGTTTATAAAAATTTTTTTAAAAAGTGTGACTTAAAATTAAATTAACAAATGGTTTCAGGCAGCTTTCAGAATACTATACCAAATTAGGATTTATTCAAAAAAAAAAAGAATTATAATGTTTCAAATATATTTACACAGAAAAAAAACCCTTTGATTTCTTTATATTTTTAATAAAAATAATTCAAAATCGTAATAAGAAGCCATTAAAATTTTTTAAATGCATTTAGAAATTTACAAAAATTCATCTGACTATTTATGTTATGCATTTCAAATTTTTGAACACATGTAACATTTATGTTTTAATAATCTTAAAAAAAGTTTGAAGTTTGATAAAAAAGCTCTTTTTACAATTGTGTTTTCAGTTGCAAAACTGACAATTTTCTCAAATCTTGGAAGTGCATTTTTTCTTAATTTCTAAATAAATTTTTCTGTCAGCTGAATACAAGAAACTATGGCAATTTGATCAACTCGCGTTTTATCTGATTTTTTATAAATCAAGTTTTGCAGCAAATCTTGAGTGATATTTGAGAATTTGCAGCTATAAGCAGCATTTGAAAAAACAAATTAATTTAGAATTTAAGTTGTGAGGCTGTGAGAATGATATTCCTTAAAATGGAAGATATTGCATTTTCGTCTCTAGAATTTCAAACAATTTTTGATTTATGTTTCTCTTATTTAATTAATTGATTTCACTTTCACAATCTGCTGCATTTGACAATCTGCTGCATTTTCGTCTCTAGAATTTCAAACAATTTTTGATTTATGTTTCTCTTATTTAATTAATTGATTTCACTTTGACAATCTGCTGCATAAAGTAGGCATTTTTGTAATATTTACCTTAAAATCTGACCAAGAATTTTTATTATAGTGTGAATAAACTATCCAAATACTTTTTACACATATTCCACACATACTAATTATTACACATAAACTCCAATACAAATTTTTATTGAGTTCTATCTTTTTTGAAGCTTTTGAGTTCTGGTCATATCTGTACTTTTGGAGATATTTTAACTGATTGCATATTATTATTGCATATTTGCTTACTTAAATTATGATTTTTTTTTGTTCTTTAAGTGTTGCTTATTAAATTCAATTTACATTTGTTAGTAATTTCGATTTAATTTTCGTTTTTTTGAATACAAATTGTTTAATTTTATCTAATATTTAAAAATTAATTTAAATATTTTTATTTGTTTAATAAGTTCAGTTGACTATTTAAATCAATTCAATAAAACGTAGGCAGGGTGAATCGTAATAATAATAATATGCATATGTAACTGCTATTTTTTCTATATTAGGATTTATCTTGACTCTTTTGCTTTTAACTTAAATTTTTTCTTTATTAATTTGTATTTTAGATAAAAATTTGTATTTGGATTCTGCAATTGTATATTCTAATGGTAAAGGTCCATCCGAATCTCCTCGTAAGTAAATTTGTAATTAATAATATAATTATTTTGAATAAGTATATGTTACCACATTTTATGGAATAAATAAATTTATGTTTTACAGAAAAAAATGTCTTTTCATCAATTAAGATTCTTTATGATTTTTAATGTTTTCTTAATATCTGATTTCACTATATTCAATTCATACTATTGAAGAGATCTTGAAAATCAAAAATTGAATTAATTTTATTTTGTTTAATAAATACTAAAAAAGGTTGATTATTAGTTTTAATCCAAGAAAAACCTTTTTTAATAATACTGTTAATAGTTTTATTTAAGTAGTTAGAGAAAATGGTTTCAGGTTTAGTTAGATACGTATTAGACCTACAAGTAATTATTCTAAATTTATAGAAATTTTAAAAAATTTTGGACTGATATTTAAATTTTTAACCTCTTATATGAAGCTGAATTTTTTTAATGATAATGTATAATTATTTAAATTACTAAACGTAAATTTTTTTACTATTTTTTAACTCCTTATTTAAAAGTTCAACAAAGAATTTTGTAGAGAACATTGCTATTCTTAGCTTTGTCTATGGGGGTAAATGCAAATTTTTTTTGTAGTTGCTTAATTAACCTATGAATTTTTGAAAAATGTTTTGAATTCTTACTGTTTTTTAAATTTTCCTAATTATTAAACATAAAGTTTTAAAAGTAGTCAGGTTTAGTTAGGTACGTAATGTTTATTGGAATCTTTTTCCTTATTAGAAATAAAATTTACATTTAATTTGTCATTATTAAAAGAGTTTTTACTACTTCCTGATCCCTGTTTATCTCAATTTGTACCCTTATCTTTAATATAAAAAAGTGAATAAGGTGAGGAGTTATTAAAGTTAATCTGTGTAAGTTAGAACGTATCCTTTTACAAAATTGTTTGTATAAATGCATGTAATAATTTTCTTTTTGTATTCTTAAATCAATATCTTCGACTATATCTAAAATATTAATTATAACACTATTACAATTATGTATTCTAAAATGATTCAATTCTAAGTCATTGATAGTTTTATTACTGTTTATACTGTTTAACGAGGATGATTAATTCGAATGGGAGTTACTAGTTAGTCCAACATATTTCATATTACAAAAACCAACCATAGGTTAACATATAAATAACATAAATTTTACCAAGAAATTTACAGCTATCGTTATTTTGAATTATATGTTTTTTGTCAATATAAGGGCAAGTTTTACATCTTTTATTGCTTCACGTTTTATAAGACGGAGAAAATTCTAGAATGATATAAATATGTATAAATAATATGTATGCATGCATTTGTATCATAAATACATTAGCGTTTCATTTATCAGGTCATGTTATTTCTAAAGCAAGACCGATAGCTGAAACTGATAAAGAACTGTCAAAGTTGCTAACATCTAGACACATGGTAAATAATTTGGAAAACATGTCTCCGGATCCTCATGTGACGGAAGAAAGGCGGAGGAAGTTAGCCAGAATGGAAAATATTAGAAAATTAGAAAAAGGCGATTCTTCTGATGGATCTACAAATTCAGAGTTCCATGTAAATTATGTTTTGCATATTTTATGAATCGTATTTCCCCTAAATGAATAATTGTTACTTCAGGTGATAGAGCGTTTGCCTTCCAATGAGGTGAAACAGGTTCGTATCCGGCTTGCACCGACTACAGGGCTGACATAAAATATCCTCAGTGGTAGACGAATCATGGGTCATTGCTGTCAGGCTAATCGTGGTAGGTTTTCGGGGATTTCCTCTTCATGTGACGCAAATACGGGTTAATTCCATCAAGAAGTCCTTCATGAGGCAAATTTCTCCCATTACTTGATCCTGGAGTTACCTTGTTTCCTGGATTGGGTTCAAAATTATAAGGCTACGGACTTAAACATTAGTAGTGGTAAACCCAAAAAAATGGGGCGGCTGTTCAACGACAGTTATAAAATAAAAATAATAAAATAGTGACTCCTTCCATACCTGCATACTTCATTAAAGACAGGTGCATTGTATTACTTTAAGCTGTAAATAATAAAATTCTGAGATATAAAAATCATCTAATCATTTATGTTGCCAACGTTTTTTTTCTAACTTAAAAAGCTTGATTAATTGAAATTTTTTTTAATATTACTTCATAATTTAAATTTTTTCAGTAATAAATGTTTGGTTTGAAAGCATACAATGCTTTGAAATATTATGTGTAAAAAGTTCTTTACACAAAACGTCTGATTAGTAATTTCAAGTATTTTTATTTTGCTTTAAATAAGGAACTTAATTTTGCATACTTGTTTACCGTTTTTACCTTACAATGCTATGCATAGTGACACTTATTATCCATATATTTTATACAGTATAATGATAATCTGGAGCTGCTCGCTAACTAGCACTAGTTGAGAAATTCACTTTGAAACGAAATTTGGTTAAAATTAGTAGTGTGTCTTAAGTGTGTTCACTCTTTAAAATAACAGATTACACTAACCAGCCAATTTTAAGAAAAATGCATTTGATTTCCTAGATTTAAGCATAATTTTCATACTAGAAAAATTTTCTCAAGTCGATCGTGGTGCAGTGGTCTAGTGGCAGGGCACTTGCCTACGGAGACAATTGGGCTTTGGATCTTGCAGTGGACTGCTTTATTTCTTTGACTTATTTTCCATAAAAAGTGATCTTCATTTTTTTTGAAAATAGTTTAAATATAATTAATTTTATTTATTGTATTTTTTAAATTATCAGATATGTTTTTGACCTTTAAAATACAGTAATTAAGTTTAATTAAATAATTAAATTTCCTGTACCACTTATTACATAATAAGTGTAATAGTTTCTAAAATTTAAATTTTTAAAATTCAGTCATTCATATACGTTTATCCTGTATATCTCTTAAAGTCACTTTCAGACAAAAAAAAAGGTATTGCTTCTATTAACCTTGTTAGAATTTCCTTATTTTTTAAAAGTTAATAATAGTTTTCAGTATTTTTTGTCTAATTTTATAGATTGGAATGGGTTCAATTGAACCTAGTGACCAAATTTTACGATTGTTAGTGTTTTTAAAAGAAGTGAACTTTGAAAAAGTTTACAAATATTTATTATCTTAAAATTGGAAATTTGGTTACTAGGTTCAACAGTACACAATTCAGCAGATAAAATGAAACATAGAAATATTCAGAAATATTAATCAGGTAATTAATAAATAGAGAAGAGAATTTGCATCAAATATTTTTCTGCTTGTTAACGAGAAGAAAGTAGAACTTCTTTCCTATCTGAAGGAGACCTTTAACTCTACACTGATTAGTGATGCATTAATTTCTAGTTCCTATTCATTTTTTTAACCAAAAACTTAAAAAATTATGTATTTACGTTAATATTCTTATTTTATGATTATTATCATTCTCTTGAGCTTTAAATCTTTTCAAATCAAACAATGAGTAGTCAAACAAGACTATCTGTTTGAATGAGTTCAAAACTTACTTGAATGAAATGTAAGAAGTAATAAATGTGAGAAGACTTGATTTTAAAATGTCTTGATTATAATGTATTTCTAAAATAATTGTATTATGCTTTTAGGGGATACATTTACTTAAAGAGAAACAAAGGAATTTACTAAGCATTGAATCATACATTCAAAAGAATAAAACAGAGATCATTCACTCTTTATTGTGTAAATCTGTTACTTCTGAGAAACTTATTTTTCCCGTTATTGGTAGTAAAGTATTTTTTGAATTTGTTATTCAAAATCCTTTTCCTGTTGCCAAGAAAATAGAAATTGTTTGGAAATGCCCTGAACTTTCGTAAGTTTAATGTTTTTATTAGTATTTTTTTCTCTTTGCTTATTGCAAAAATTTTATTTAACTGTAACAATTGGAAACAGTTATCTGTTTCTAAATTTTTTGAAATTTATTAAGAAAAGTGTTAAAAAAATTAGAAACAGATTTAAAGTTTTTAATATTACTTAATATTTATTTAAAGTACTAATTTAAGTGCTTTTTTATTTACAAAATATGAATTAAAGGACTTGATTTTTTATCAGTATGTTAACCTGTATCTAATAAGTTATACATTTAAAAATGTGTCTTCTAGCCTTGTTTTGCAATTTTATACTTCAGAGGCAATATTAATTTGTTTTACGTTGAATGTAAATATATACATTTTCATTTTTAATTGTTATTGTTGTTTCTTCATTTTAATTATTTTTTATTGTGCCCAAAAGTAAATGAATATGGAAATATAGTGATAAGAGAGGTAACAAATAGTGATTTAGTTGAATATAGAATGTCTGGCTAAAAATATCGGTTGAATATTCTACGATGGAATAGCTGCATTTTTGTGAAGAAATCATTAATGATAAACATTATTTTATATATATAAAAAGGTTTAGTTATTATTAAAAATTAATCAAAACTTAGCTATATTATTGGCATGGGATAAAGGGAAAAAAACTATAATAGTTATGTAAAGTTGAAAAGATGAAATAGAAAAAAATTCTTTCAATTCTTAAAACAATATATTTTAATGCTAAGAATGACACTTTCTTGGGAAAATAAATCAGTGAAACCGTAAAAGAAATATAGTAAATCAGATACGCTTATAAAAATGACGCACTATCATAAAAATATCCATGGAAACAAAAGATTATGTACAAAAGCGAAACTGAAAAAATTAAAACCAATCTTAATTCTCAAAAGAAAATTTTAAATTCAGTTTTTGAATAATTGTATTTTCAAGAAAAAGTGAAGAAAAATAACAAAGTCTAATATTCATAATGTATTTTCATGATGTATTCTAGCATGCATTAATTATCTTTAATTGCTTAGTTAATGTTCATAACAAAATAACTTTGCAGGCGATATTTGCATTTTTTGTAAAAAGTAAGTACCGTAAACCGGGGCGAGTCTACCCATTTTTTCAGTTTGTCGACTTTCAAGTGGTCAAACTTTTGTAAATAGTAAAGAAAAAAGGCTTTTAATAGGTGGTTCTGAATCGCTATTTATCCCTCTTTAAAGCTGTGAAATCGATTTTAGAAAATATTAACAGTTACGCTGTTACTGTATATTTTTATAGAACTGCTGACAAATCTCTCGTATGGGGCGAGTCTACCCATTCTACTAAAATGAATGTTAACATTGTAAATAATCAAATTTTACTATTAAATTGTTATTTTAGTTACTATATAGGATATTTATGAAGTAAAATTCATAACTTTATTATATATTCCATTTTTTTATTCATAAAATAACACAAATTGAGTATTTGATCGATTATCACATTTTGATCACAGTTTTGTTTTTATAATCATTAACATTATAAAATAACATTTTTTTCTGATTATTGTTGATAAAAATAAATTAAAATTAATATAAATTTACAATTAAATAATTAATAAATAATAATAATTAAAGATTATTAACAAAATCGAAATTCAAACATTGGGAATCATGAAAAATCCTTTTCCCATTCTTTTGGGAGGTAATAATAATTTATAAATAATAATTTATTTAACTTGCATTAAATAAAAAAAGTTAATTTTGTAATATAAAAATTGAAAAAATAGGTAAAATAAACATATTTTATATTTACATTTATATTTAACCTATAAATTTTCTTATTAATGATAAATTTATCAATGCAGAATTAAAATAATATACTCAAATTCATTTAAAATGACTTAATTTTAATATAAACAAAGTTCTAAATTATATTATTATGCTTTATTAAAACTAAATACGAATGGGTAGACTCGCCCCGCGAATTCTGGCTTTTTGTTTACAACAGCAAAACTTACATTCTTTTTTTTTTTTTTTCATATAAAATTAATGTAATCTTAGTCTTAGATAAGTTTATCACTTAACCAAAGTGAAAATAGTAATAATAATAATATACTTACGGAGCACCAACTAAAAGTTTGCTGATTTTCAATACAAATCTCTCAAAAGACGTTTGAACAGGTCGGTTAAAAAGACACCAAATAAATAAAAACGGATCAAACTACTACAGCGCCATCTTCCTTAGAGTCTGAACTAAGTCCTCCATTGGTAAAAATTTTTTTATTTGCAATTTAAAATAGTGAAAATTAAATAAAACTAAAATGGGTAGACTCGCCCCTGGATGGGTAGACTCGCCCCGGTTTACGGTACTAGATTATTATATCAGGTCTTAAATGTTCTTATATAAAGTTCTCTTTTCTTATATTGCAGCAGTGTATATCGCTTTATCTGGTAATGCACAAGTTGTGGAAAATCTTTGGTATTTTTTGGTTTGAATATGAAATTTCAACTTAGTCTGACTTGTTGATTAAAATATTTAACTTTTTCCATTTATATATTCATAAAATTTACTTGGGATTCAACTTCGCAAAATTTTGTCGCGATTTATCATTTTTCTCAAAATTAATAAATAATGAAATAAATAAGTAATTAAATAAATGAATAATTAAATAAATAAATAACAGAATATTTACGTTTCATACAAAAATGATTATTATTTAGCGCAAATGAAAGTTTTTATTTTTATTTTATGTATTTTCTAACTAAGGATTCCTAATAGTTGTACAACTTAAACTTGTAATATACTGCTATTTTCCGTAATTGAGTTTCTCTCTTTTTAAAAAAATTTCATTTAGATTGCAAATATAGTTATTAAAGAAAGTTTTTTATTTCACTGGCAATGTTCTAGCTTTCTGTTGTTACAGTTAAAAATTGCTGAATAAAAAAAAAATGTACCAATATTTTTCTTCTTTTAAAAAAAATCTCCATTGGTGTCTTTAACAAATTTAAAAACTAATTTCAAATTTTGTTAGTAATTATAATTTGAAATGAAAAGGCTGTATAATGTTCTTGACATATTGTGTTAAATTTTTCACAGTGAATTAAAACGTTAAAATTTTGTATCACCTACACAATTCAAAAAGTTATGAAAGTAATTATATTAATGCTTTCTGTTATTACTTTTTATCTGAAATAACATATACCACATTAATATGATATTTTTTATTGTTTGTTGGGGATATTTTTGATGATTAAGTTTTTAGATACGGATGTCTCCACATTTCATTGAAGAATATCAGCATTTTTAGTTGCAATGGATTTTTGGAGAATTATCCTGTTTCATGCATGTAAAGAAATTTAAAATCTAAACGTAAAAAATTAATTTTAGTACAATTCATTGTGATAAATTTAATTATGATTATTGAAGAAAATATAAAATAATTAGGAGTTTATCAGTCTCTAGCTGTTTTTTCCCCTCTGTTAAAACCTTACTCAAGTGTTTATTTAATGATTAATTATTTATTTAACGATTCCTTTCTCTCATTTTAGTCTTGTAGTTGAAAACAAGTTATGGCATATCCTCAGAAGTATGAATAATCTATCACAAAACACAACTGTGTTGAATTTTGTTGACACTGAGTCCAGTAAATCATCAATAGTGCTACAGCCTGGTGAAAAAGTGCATATTCCTTTCACCTATCAATGTTTCACTGCCCCACCTACTCAACTAGATTTATTTAAAGTAAAAAAATAAAATTGAAATTTTCATTTCATTGTTTTTTTGCAAAAAATTTTAAACAATGTACTACATTCTTTTTCTAGGCAGTTTCTGGTCATCATTTTACATCTGATGTATTATCTTCCACTCCAGCTCATAATATTGTTCAATCATCTGTCAAAGTAATTACAATATTTTTAATAGGAGTGCGATTAGATTTTTTAAAACAAAGCTTTATTATATGGATGGTGTTTTCAGTAGAAATGTAAACAATAACAATCTCGAGCTGTATGCCTGCTCTAGTTCCGGTTAGAAAGTTTGCAGCTGCTTACTACATGTTATTCTGCTAGGCGATATTTTCAAACGGATAATTTTGTTTTCAGTAAAAGAAATAAATTAGATAATTTCTGAGCTCAAATCTGCCGTATTTCATAAGATATTAATGTTATTATGTAATTCTGGTGAGTTTGAAGTGAAAATTTGTTTTAGTTATTTAGAGCTATATTGTTAAAAAAAGGTGACATGGTTGCTAGATTTTGAATAACTCGCTTTTTTGGCAGTTTTGATTTGGCTTCTTTCCATAAGTTTATTACTGTTTTTTCTTGTTGCAAGCTGTGCACCATCTTACGTTAGTATTAACACTTTTAGCATTGTAAACACAAGTAGTGTTAGCATTGTAAACACAAGTAATAAGTAATCAAATACATTGTTTGCAAGAATCTCAAAACACAATGATGCCAAATGGCTTTAAAATACAACAGAAACAGTAACTCGGAAATTGAGGCAGTACCAAGCTTGCAGCGTTCCCTAGTGTAGAAAACACCATCCATTATAATAGTTCCTTTACATTCAAATTTTATATTTATCATTCTTACTTAATATATCTCGTTAACAATGCCTATTGTTTGGTTTAGAACAATTAAAATATAAATTAAAAAACAATGATTCCAACTGTTTTCTAAATACTTTTTTTTGTAGTATTTTGAAGCCATCTAAAAATTAGCACATTTTAATCACTAGGAAAGCTCAAAACCCAATATAATGACGAGTTATGGTGAAATTTATATATAGATGACGAAATTAGTTTTTCTTATTTCATGCAATTTTTTTAAAGATAGGGCTTTCCATATATGAAAGCAGAGCTTAAGTATACTAGTAACTACAGTAGTGGTACAATATTTGTAACCGTTTTAATGAAAAATGAGGAAAAAGAACTATTGAGAATAAAATATTTCATGAGAAAAAGGATGAAACAATGTGCAGTCACTGTATTATTGTTTTTATTAGTTTATTATTTTTTTGCATCACAAATTCAGTAATTATAATTAGGTGTAAGATATATTCTATATTAGTTTTAATATTTTGCATAAATTTTTTATAGTTCTCACTGAACTTTTTCCTTGACTGATGTATTTTCGCTTTGTGTTAAATGTACTTAATTCTGTGCTTGTTTGATATTGATAAATACATTTATTTTTAGATTCGTTTCATGACTGAAGAACGCACACTACTAGCAGTTCTGAATTTAAAAGTACAACCTCTTCCACCTTCATTCACTCATGTTTTCAAATTTCTTTCCATTGAGAATTCAATGTTTAAGAAAAGCATACAGATCAGCAGAGGTAATTTATTATTTTTTTGTAATGCACTCTTACCCCTATTTATTTTTAAATGATTATTTTCGCATTTATGCTATATTTATTGTTTCAATATTGTTTTTTAATAATGAGCTCTGCTTAGACTAAATTAGAAATCTCTTATATTAGCATTTTAAATATGGATATTTGATAGTTTGGGCTAAAGAAATCAAATATCTTAAATCTAGCGTTAGTTCTGAAAAATTGCCAACTATCCTCGTTAAGAAGGATGAATTAGTACACTGTATTGATATCTTCTGTCACCGCTATGGGCTAAAAGCTGTAAAAATTAGATAAATATGCTTTTGATTAAAAAAAATCGCAAATTTTGTTAATTGGTTTGTGGTAGTACTTAAAAATTGCAATATCTTAGCAACAGTATCTACAAAAGCTTAGATCTGTAAATTAGAACATTTATTTTTAAAATATATAACTATAAAAACCATAGTTTTTCTAGTTACCATGATCGTTTACAAGAAATGGTGGTCAGAAACCAAAGTGTAAGACAGTAATCCAATAGATGCAATGTTCACTCTACCTGATATTAACATTGAACAGATTGATGTCATCAAATTTGGAATAAGGTCGACACTAAAAATAATCAAAATGAAAGATTTATGATAATATGACAATTACTTGCTATACCAAATACAAACATTGCATTAAAGATAGTGACGAGATGTTTCCAATTAAAAAATGTCATATGGTCACAAAACAACAAAATATACTCACCACATACAGGCGATATTGATGAGAAAAATGCAATTGAAATGAAGATATTTTTTATTGAACAACACTTTTTTAAAAATAATTTTTAACTTATATTCTTGTCTGCAATACTCAGACAATTTTACAAAATAAAAAACATTCCTTTCTTGTAAACAAAATTTTAACTATGACATACCTAAAATTAGAAATGGGGGTTTTACAATAAAGCTTAATATGTAATGAAAGATACAAGAGAAGGATAAAATTAAAGGGTGATAAGATAAATACAGGAGCGCTTAAACTGAACACTTAAATTGAAAGGATCTAAAATATTAAAAAATCATTCAAAGGTATAAAATGGTAGATATAAGGACATTTATATAACTGATAAACATAAATGTTAATATTGAAGCTAAGAAAAACGAATGTAGAAAAAGGAAATAATTCCATCGATACGAACAAAAGTCAGAGAGAGAAATGGCAGGACATACACTCCTTGGTGTATGGAAGGCAAGCAAGTGAGTGTCACAATATATTGAGAAAAATTTCTTGACTGAGAAAAACCAGGCTGGAGATAACCAATTAAAATTCATGGAGAAGAAAGTTTGAAAAGTGGATGATTAAAATTGACTAAGTAAGCCCTCAAAAAAATAAATGAAAACAAGAAATTATCGCCTACAGTCGGCGATTTTATGAAAAACAAAGTCATAAAATACTTATAATGACATCTTCTTTCGAAAGATGTCGCCAAAGGCGAGGAAAGAGGGATTTTCACTTACCCACAGAAAATTTAATATCAGACAGAAAGTGCAATGATTGTTAAAAGCAAAGAAAGCCAAATAGAAGGTTAAGATTTTCCAATTGAAAAGTGAAATTTTTGCCAGTCAAAATTATAATCAATATATTTAAATTGAGAAAAAAATCCCTTAATTACAAAAAATCACTTGAAAATTTTGCATGGAATAAACTTAACGTGTTATAATATTAATGGTAAGTAAAGGTTTAAGAATTATTAAAAGAAAAGAATAATAATTATAACATTACACAAAGTGTAACTGTGACGCACAGGTTTTATCTCCGTTAATTAAAAATGTGCTTTATGCTCTCAAGATACCTGAGTGATTTCTCATTTTATTGTAGTGTTTTTGCATCAGACTTAATTCAAATAATAGCTAATTAAGCTTAGTTCCGTTTGTATAGTTACAGCACTTGTATCATTAAACATCAATGCAATCCTATGATGTTCCCCAAAACAAATTGGTGGCAATCTGCTATCTTTTCTAGACTTGCAAAATTTTTTTGAAATTTCTGTTTTATACATTTTTATTCTTTTTATATATTTTAATTTTTTTTATATATTTAGATAATAGCATGAATGAAATTGATTTACAAATATCTGATTCTTCAGTGGTTTGTACGATACAGAAGAATGAAAGTAGTGAAATGAATGTCAAGATACTTGTAAAAGTATGTTACAATTATGAATGATATAAATTATTGATTGGGTAATTATTTATTGTTACTTAAGTTTCAGTACTACAGTAATTAACTTGAGTACTCAATTAACAATTTGTGCAAAACTAATAAATCAATTATCTATGGTTTTGCATTCAGATATCTTTTTGTTAAATACTTTTTATACAGTTTTGAATCATTAAATATTTGTTTTTCTGTTTTCTATTGTCATTGCATTGCTTGTGTAAATTGTGTTTTATAACAGTTGGCAAAATAGTTTACAAAAAAATATGATATTCTTTTAAGCAATTCAATTTTCTATAATATTTTAACACATCCTGGACTTACATAATTAGAAACTATTTGTTTCATTTTTCCTGCTAATTTCTTATCAGGACTTTCATTTCATTTAGACTATCGAATTTTGTATTCTTAAATAGACTTGTGCAAACTTTTAAATTTTGTTCAATTCTTTTTTTTCTGTTTCATTTTTTTTCTATCTAGGTCATGGTTAAAACTTCTATATATGATGTTTTTCAATGAAATTTTGTTTAGAATTTTAAATTAAATTTTTATCCTGATTTGTTTTGCATTTTAATTGTCAATTCATTTAATTCATTCATAACTTACTTACAAAAATAGAGGTTCTATATAACACTATAAAGTTTATACTGCCTATGCTTTTTTCTCTTCTTTTAAGAGTTTTATACACCTCATTTCAAAATATTTTTCGAAAGTGTATTTAATTAATAATATTTTTAAATTATAGACAATAGATTTTTTTTTCCTTTTGGGTTTCATTCTAGTTGTCTTTATTACACTCGTCAAAATAATAAAGTATACAACTTATTTCAATTTGCTAACAGCATGTCTTTTTAATTTTTTTTTAACTTATAATTTTTTAAAATAATGAAACTATATTATATTAACTTTTATAGAAGTTAATTTATTTTAGCATTTAATTTTATGCTGTACTATAAAATTCTTGTTATCTTCTTATAGAAAGTTATATTTGAGAAAGGGATTAAATTATCTTTGGCTGAATACATTTGTAAAGAAATATTTATTAAAGGTTTTAAATCTTTACGATTGTGATAATATCTTTTAGGCCCCAACAAAGTCATCCGGAAAATGTAGTGAATTCTATGTGTTTGTGTACAGTGATGAATTCCAGATTGTGCCTTATCAAACTTGGCGTGTCTCTCTTTGTGCTTTTCAAAGAATTGATTTATCATGTGTTGCTGGTCAGCTCATGAGATCTTCATTGCTCATAAGGTATTAAGTATTTAATTCTTAGTTATACTTTTAATTTCCAAATAAATCGACCTAAACACTATCATTAAGTATAGATTTGTTTTTCAATGAAGCGTGACAACATATTTTGATTATATAATAGTATGTTTTTTTTTGTATGTATTAGTTTGTTTCCATGTTATTTTTCAGATTTATTATTGATACATAATCATCACAAAATTTTAATTAAATTGTAAATCGCAAAATTTTCATAACTGTTGTTTTAGGTAATAATGGGTTGTCAGACTTTTTTAGTACTAGATTTGTAAAATGCTATTTTCATAGTACAAAACATAGAAGAATACGAAAGCAATTTTTAGTCGTAAATGAATTTTTAATCTTTAAATCATAATATCAAAGCATGTTTTTCTAATTCAATGTTTCAGTTATTTTGCCTTGAGATAAACCTCCAGTTTTTTGGATGAAATAAAAAGTTGAGTCGAACAATTATAGTGAAGGCTAAAGTTTCATTGTAATGGTTTTTGCCAGCTTTCCTTGAATAATTTTTTAAAAGTTTATTATATTATAATATTCTTAAAGTCTATTATATTGTTTTCAAAATATTCCAAACTTTATTTTTTGGAATGAAGCTATTTTATTACAATCGAGATGAACCAGGATAGTATTATCTGGTTGGGCACCAAAAAAATTATTCTGATTGATTTGAAGTAAAATTTGTTCCTGTAGAATGAAAATACAGTAAAGTCCCAATTATCTGAGCTCTGATTATCCCAGTTTTCACTTTAACCGAGCTATGAAATATTTCAAATATTTTTTTGATTCAGTTTATTTTTTATTTTTAAAATTACGACCAAAAAAACTTCTGTATTTTATCATCCAAACACTCAAGAAAACAAGCTGACGAACAACATGGGATTACCGATGAAATGACTGTTAATATCGTCAATAATGAAAATTAATCTTGCTAAAATGACGAAGACAGTGCCGATGAAAATCAAAGCATATAAAAGTCTCTCATACAAAGGGACTAAAAGTTATCAAAAGAGCAATTGAATATATGGAACAACAAGAAAATTGTTGTTCTATATATTCGTGGTGATACCAGCCTTCCTGTTATCTCTGAAAAAAAGGCAAGACATTGCTGCAGAAAAGCTCCAAAGTAAGTAAAACAAAAAAATTAAGGACTTTTTTAAGTAAACACTCTTTAATTCCCATAAAGTATGCTCTTTAAGTGTTTTTAAATATAATATGAATTGTATGTGGTGTACTTGTATAAATTTTGTATTTGTAAAATCTATTACGTGGTCCACATTTACTCGGATAATCGGGACTTTACTGTATTAGTAAATTCATCTAAAGGATAAATGAAAACAAAATATTAATATTTCTTTCTTCATCAACCAATTTCATAACAGTTATATGACATTAAATTTTATGTTCATTCTTATTCTTTTTCATTAATTAAATTATTAATATCCTGATATATTATACATTAAAAAAAATACTTTTTAATCAATATTTGCTACATTGGAATATCCAAGATATTTTCTTACCTGAACAAGGTATTTCTCTACAGCTGTGTTTAATTGAGATTCAACCATCTAAGCGATTTCTAGGTAGGCTTTTTTTTTAGTAAAAATTTGCAGCCTCTCATTCTGTTTTAAAAATCTTATTTCACATGGGGAAAATTTTAGCTATTGTGTTTTAATTTATGTTATATCTTTACACTCTAGTTATTATGTATTATGAAATAGAAAATGAGATAAATATATTATCAATGTAATTTGCTTATACTTCCAGGGGTACACATGCCACTAATTTGGTTAGATGCTTTTCAAGTTCTCAAGATTTGTTGTTAGATCCAAATGAGGCTTTTATTTTATCTCCATTTGCCGTGCAAGAATTATCCATGAATATGAGATCACTCATACCTGGAATAAAGTAATGGTTTATATTTTTTAATATGTTTCATCATTATAAAGAAATACTTTGAAAGAACATTGCAGTTCGCCATCAGGATTATTTTTAAGAGTCCTTCGTTTCCTCGATAATAGTTGTCTAAGTTGATAATAGTTCCAATTTTTATTAATTTTTCAATTAAAATTAACTGTAACTGTTAAAATATCAATTAAACACTTTGTCAATTTCTTAAAGTTTTTAACAGATATAAATTTCCTTTTTAAGAAAAGGGGTATGTTCAACCAAAACTCAATAACAATGATGTTAAGCTTTAGATTTGTAATGATTTTAAGATTTTAATAATTACCAATAATTATGTTTTATTTCTAATAAATATTTTAATTACACTCTCTCTGTAGTGTTCTAGTTGTCCAATTTGAAACTTAGTTCTAAGATATTGATTTAGGAGATTTTCTAACAAAGGAAATGATCTTATGTAATTTTATTTAACCTATATCTTTCTGAACTCTGCTTTTTGTAAGTAAACTCAGTCTATTAATAACTATTGATAATGATGATTATTACAATATTTTAAATTTTTTAAACATATTTTCTAAGCATTTTTAACTAGGAACTGCTATTCAATATTTATGTTTTAATTAACAATTAAGAAACATTTTACAGCCTAACTCTAAACTAAGCTCAATATTAAAGAAAACTAAAATTTAGTTTTCAAACAAACCTAAGTAATAAATAAATTAGTAAGATTTACTGAATTTCAATGCCTTAAATGATACTTTTCCCCTTATTTTTTTGTGTAAGTGTATAGATATTTGAGTGCCGAAATATTTTTTTAACCTAAATTTGAAACAGGATAATGATAAATATATATTTGTTCCAAAATAAAATTTACAAGATTTTTGATATAATTTCCTTTTCTGAGGCTATATTTCTAAACCTTTATGACATGCCCATTTTTTACTGTTATTATTCAATGCAGAATTTTATTAACATTTGGACAATTGAGATTTTACAAATAAAACACTCTTTTTTAAAAAAAATGAATAAAATAAAAAAACTCTGGCTTCGAGTTTAATACCAGGGTTCGGTCTAACAGATCACATACAGAGCTGTCTAACCTTAAAAACCAAACTGGATCACTTGGATATTATTTATTCAAAAACTGCTGCAATAGCGTGGTTATCACTGGTAAAAAGGGGTTTCCATTTGAAACAATGTTATAAGAAGAAATTATAATACTTTTTTGATTTCTACTGAGAATTTTAATCAAATTGAAACATATAATCAACATGCATTCATTACTTAAAGAAATGCCATGCGATTTTTTGAAGTTTTTTTTATCTTTCTGTATAACATCATGAAACTAAATTTTTGTTATAATTGTGCTAAGTATTTTGCTATGAATGATTGTTTTTCAGACATTTTCAAATTACTATGGTTGACCAGTCTCAAGAACAAGTTGTTCAAACTTGGTTGCTTGTACTTTCATGCCAAAAGCCTTCTGTTTCCAAAGCCTTTCAAATTCACCTTTCTGTTGGAAAAGAGACTGCTAAGGTATATTGCTTTATTTTATTGTTCTTTTAAGCTGATGAAAATGTAATTTCAGATAAATATGCATCTACAAATTATTTTTAATATATAGGGTTATTGAAACCAGAATATAATGTTTTCAATTTTTTATAAGTAATTGATATAAAAATGATTGCAATATATAAGGTTTTATAAATAATTTATTATTTTATATAAAGTTCTGGTAGGAAGATTATAATATTTTCGCCTATTTTTAGGTTAAATGATATGCTTTATCTACCATGGCATATTTACAAATTAAGTAATGATGTTTAGTTATAGAACTGTACCCTGTGATATTTTTTAAAGTAAAAGTTACATATTTTGAGAGCTTCAAATCAAACTAAAACTTTTGTCCATTAGTTTAAAAGTAAATTAGTTTCCGCATCCTAATTATTTATAGGGCACTGTGACCACTGTATTGTATAATAGATCTTAGTAAATTTTCATAAAATATTTTTCATAGAATATTAAAAATGTTTTTAAAATATTTATAAAACATATCATTAATATCTAAAAATTTTTTTAAATTTAATAAAATACTCTAAGAAAATTAATTATTAATTTTAAAAACAATATTTTAGAATTATAATATGCTTTTTTTTTTAAATTCTCGTAATGCATGTACAACAAATAAATAAGCCAGTAAATGTTTATCTTCCAGCAAAATAAATAGAATTAAAATAAGGGGAAATCAGTATTTTAGTATATTTCTGAAAATAGATATACTAAGAATCAGTAAATTACAATCTGAAAGAAGGTTTTACCAAGAATCTCACAAAATTTGATAAATAAGACTTTTGTATTGTGAATAGGAACTCTGTTTTGGTACCTATTTGGATTTTGAAGGTTTTCAGTAGTTTTAAAGTGTTTTATGGTTACATCAATTCATTATGTAATGTGTATCATCAAATAAAATGTGTTAAAACTAAATCTCACAAAATATGAAAATAAATTTGTGTTTTGAGGAAGGTTTAACAATTAGTTTTGCTCTTTAGCCAAAACAATCAGCATAGTGTTCTAAGGAATTTTTATAGTTTTAACAAATTTAGATAACTTTCTGGAAATAATATATTTAATATTCAAAAATAAACATTAAAACTTAAAATTTATCAATTCTAGAAAAATATTAAAAAAAAAAAAAAACTAAAAATATCTAGTAGATGAACTACATTGAAACATTTTAAAGTAATGTAAAAAGGTTTGCATTGTGCACTACCACAATGTAGACTTAATTGAAGGTTCAGCGCTTTTCTAGAAAAAATAGAAATTGATGAAATAGAAGAAAATGAATGAGCACAGGGATTGAGTTTCTTTAATTTGTATATTGTTATTAATTCTGTAAATTTAACATAAGTGATCAAACTAAAACTAGAAATTTTATATCTAGTTTTTTTTTTTTAAATAACTAGAAAACTATTTTATTTTAATTGAATGGTTTATTTTAATCAAATGGTTTAAAATAATTTGAAATGTGCTTAAATAGTTTTTTTTTTGTATCGTATTAAAAATGATTGTTTTTAAAGTCATTGATATTTTAGTGAAATTTTAAAATTTCATTTGAAGCACAAAAATTCTGAACCACGCAATTTAATTTTTATATTGAATTATTTTCAAACTATGAGCAAAAGACTACTTAGCCTTTAGAATACAAGACTATTTAGACAGTTAAACAAGTAGTAGTTATTGTTTAAAAATTATCAAATAAAGTTATATCAGTTTGGAATGAAAGATAATTGCAAATAAAATTTGTTTCAGATAAATTATTGTATATTTGTGTGCTTTAGTTATCAATCTCACTTGCTATATCCTAATCAGACTTAAAATCATATTTAAAAAAAAAAATTCGAATACATTTTATGTATATTTAAATAACAAAAATTTAATAAATAAATTTTTTTTTCATTCCTGTAATTATAATTAAATTTCAGTTCGTTAAAACATTAGGTATATTAAAATTAATATAGATATTTTATTTATTAATTATATTTCAGGCAATAAATAATATATGTAAACCTTTGTTTAGAGCTATTTAATATGTTGAACATTTAATTTTAAATGTAGATAAAATTAGTAGTTCCTCTTCCCTCAGAACAATTTTTTTATTAGGAAAGAAGCATAACAACCTATTTAACTTGATAGGCAAAAATTTTGGAAACATACAAGCTAGCATTAGTATGTATTTTTTACCCCTTTTAAAATCTTATTAATGTTAAACTCTATATTTTTTAATTAATTACTAATAACTATATAAAAACTCAAAATTTACCGCTCATTTAAATAAGCATTATTGTTCAAATATCATCACTACTAAATATGGATTCGAGAAGGGTTAAATTTTATTCAGATGCAGCAAAAATTTTGTATACTAAATTTTAATCTGAAAAAAATTTTGCAATTTAAAAACGTAATTTTGGTAAATTTTTCCTAGTTTAGAAACCACAAATATTATGAATCAAAATGTGAACTTCAGGATGATTAAATCATAGCCACTCTCAAATAAAAATATGATTCCAATAAATTACATGTTCATTGAAGTTTTCTTCTTAGTAAATAACTAATTAACTATTAACAATGTAAGCAAATCTTAATTGCACCTTAAATATGTATAATTTTGTAAAATCCAAAAGAAAAATATGATCATTGAATTTTCAGTAAAATTTATAAATACCCAGGTATTTTACTCAAGCTATAAAAAGCTGGATATTTTACAATTGTAGTTATGGGGCACTTAAAACATCCATGTGGTTTTGAAGATTTTCTGTAAAGTATATAAGATTGCATCACATGAAAACTAAATATGTCTGTTTTAAATATTGCAAAATTTTTATTACAGCGGATTACTTACTCAAACCCATATCATCAAACTCGGAGCTTCTTTTTATATTCTAGTCACCCTCATATGTTAAACTTGAGGGAAAGTGAATTTTCAGTGCCTCCTGGCAAGAGTTATTCAATAGGACTATATTTTATGCCTCAAGATTATATCTTCACAGAAACCATATTTTTATATATGAATGACACCAGTGACAAAAATGAAGAGACTTATTGCATAAAAGTTGTTTGTCAATAAAGATTCTAATACTATTTCAATATGCTCACTTTTATCTCTTTCTTTCTTGTAAAATAACAAATGCGTCCTTAGATTCTTGTACCAGACTAGATAAATTTTTTTCATTTTCTAGTCTTGACTAAACTCTGCCTGATTCTTAAGTAAAATGACTTCTAGATTCCAATTTCGTTGCCAAATGTTTATTTTTTTTCTTACATTAATAGCTCCAGATGAGTTGGATAAAATTAATCGAACAGGTCTCTTAATTAATCTGTTTGGTTTGAATCATATTTTTTAGATTGCAGCTACTTCCTTCATAATTTTAAGGTAAAAATGCTGAATCCGTCAGAATAAAGGCGTGTTGATTCTGTATGAAAGTAAGTTTATGTTCCAATTTCGTAATTGAAAATATTGTATGCTATTACTTGAAAATCCAAACAATTACATTAAAGTTAGAGGGTACCTTTTTTCTTGAAAATTTTTTTCTCTAATTATTTTAAATTAAATCAGAAATTCTTGAAACTTATTTCTACCCACGGTTAGCAGTCTGGTTAGCTTATATCTGCCCTTTGATTGAAACTAGGACATGTGACCATCATAGTGGCCACAATTTTGCACAATGGAAGTCAAATATGACTATTGATTTTAATTTTCCTTGAAAATTCCGGGTTTTCCAGTGCTATTTTCGAATTCCCTGAGAATTCAATGTTTTCAGTTAAAGTGCTCATGCTCCCTTAAAGTAAAACACAACTCAGACTCGAAGCATCTTTATTTTTTTCAAATAGTGTTGTTAAAAATGTAACAAACATGTTTAAAAATACTTTTTTTTAAATATTTATACATTATATGGCAGGATATCATTATGGATACAAATTCCGTTTTAAAGGGTCACAAATAAATTGAATATAAAAGAGGAGTGAAATAAGTTACTAAAAATAATGAAATGATATTTAAAAGAATCAGTTTGTACCCAAGGAAACAATGCTATTGAAATATAAATTTATCCATATTGAAAAAAATAATCTTTAATTTAAAAGGATATATAAATGTATGTTTTGTTAATTACTCAGAATTTGAAAGGAAAAAAATGTAATCATAGTGAATAAAAAAAATGATAAATTGTATTTCCAAACTACATTAATTTTACAACTGAAAAGATGGTAGTGGAAGAAATCAGTAAAAAATCAGATTAAAATTGAAAACTATTTTGTATCCCCAAACAATGTTTGAAACAAATTTTTTAAATATATCATCATAAGGAACAATAATATTTATTAAAAATAATTACTAAAATATATATAGCAATTTAAAGTATTTATAAAACTTCTATCACAAGTCAATCACAAGCTGAAAACAGCTATATTCAAAATTCAATTTTTCACAGTTCATTTTAGGCAGAGATAGTTAAAAATAATATTTTTTTTTAAATGCATTGATTCAGCCACTTTAATATACATTCTAAACATGTTACATACAGCTTTGAATTAAATATTATAACTGGATCATTTGTATTAACTCTCTTTCTATTAAGGTATCATACATATTAATATCAAAACAAAAATTATAAGCCATGCAAACAATAACATACACATTATTAGTAAATATAATACAACAATAGTTCATTACTTTTTTCAAACAAATTAATAATTTTAGTCAAATTCCATAAATAAAAGAAGCAATTAACATATATGTACATATTTTTTTTAAAAATCTTATGAGCATTGTATTAGAATTTTATTTTTGTAATGGCAATTAATTTATTCCTATTTAAACAAAATTCAGTTGATTATTATAAAAATACATCAGGGAATATTTGAAAAGGAATCCTTTTCCTTTTTCTATTTGATGAAGTTTCATAATAAGTCACTTACTCCCTAGACATTTATTTTGGATTAATGTTTCTTTCGATTTAATGTTGACATAGTGATCTAGGATTTACATAATACAATGCAACTAATAGAACAGATAAGATAAATGCAGAACAAAATAGTTTGATAACTTTTACTTATGTCATAATTAAATACATTGATTCTATCAATTTTGTTATAAGCTATTAACTGTAGTTATTCCCATTTATTTAATTTTAATCTTTGTAAAAATTACAATCGTCAAAGGAGAAAACTTTATAAAGACTTCTTAAGATAACAAATAAAAATTTTTTTTCAATAAATATGTAACACGCAGTTTTTAAAATATTTTTACATAAAACACTTTAAATATAAAAAATTTCAATACGATTAAAACTTAAGTCGTCTTGATTAAGTAAAAATATTTTTAGTCATTCAAATAAAAATAAATCTTCATTTCCATAGCTTAATGTAAAAACGATCCTTAAATAGCAATCAAATTTGCTAAAATAATTTCCGTAAGTTTTATCAGCCAACAAATTGCTTGAACAAAATTTAATACCATAAAAAAAGTTTTTTTTTTCTCTATTTAATAAAAGCATTATTAATAATGAAATATCTAAACATTTTAATAATAAAGGTTGATTAGTCTTGTATAATAAGGAAACTTAATTTACTTAGAAATGAGAATTTTGGGTTGTAAAGTAAATATTAAACAATAAACTTCATCTTGCTTGAGTTGAGAATATAGATTTAGAAGGTTTCTTTCAGGCATTATAATATCTGATAACATTTCAAACATTCATCAGAAGCTATAAAAAAGTAATATTTATTATCAGTTTATATTTTTAAAAAACAAAGTTTATTTGTCCCATATAAATAAAGGTATGAGATAAATAGGAAAAGAAAGTATTCTTTTTTAATAAATACTTTTAAGGGAAACAAAATAAATAGTTGTTAGAATCTTTTGCCGCATCAAAGGGTAATTTTTAAACAGTTTTAATTACGATTTTGAATCATAAAAAAACTTTAGAATACATTGATAAAATAAGTATAAAAATAGCACGTAAAAAAAAAATCCGTTTTTTAGGGTTAAAAACACAAATAAATGTTTGGGGAAATAGTATACTGAGACACAAAGAACAGCTTTAGTTTTGTCTATTCTTGTACTAAAACTTATAAACCTACAGAACAAAAATTATTTTCCAAAAAAATTTACAACCGAAAGTGGTTTGGAGCAGTATGACGCAATTAATAAGGATTATCGGACATTGCCAGATTGTTTAAGTAGAATTGAACAAGGCTGGAATTTGAGAAGTTAGTTTTGAAAATCAGAGATGCAAGAGATGAGTTCGGGCATGTTCTTGGAGGTCAGAGCCCACCAGAGCTAAGTAAAAGTCATTAGGCAAATAATGTTAGCCTCACAAAGCAGAAACACTGAATAGAAGAAGCAGATCACAATTTTTTTTATTCCTTAATAAATTTTAGATTTTTTTGTACTTAATAACTAAACCAAATGTTTGTTTAACCCACTGGCAGTTTAGCAAATAGGCAAAATTGTGAGAATGCTGTTCCCCAATACACTATTTTCCTATCTAATAACATGGAAAAACCAGTTTTGCTATGCGGAGAAGACTGCATGTTAAAGGTATTAAAAAAAATTTTTGAAAATTTAATCACCAGTCTGAGCCCTTTTTATAGTTTAACAAGTCCATGTCTGTCTTTTAGGATGATTTATACCAGAAAATAAAAGAATTACTTTAGGAGTGTTCAGGAAAAATCAAATTTTTAAAAGGGTTACCATAATGCCATAGTAATAACTAAACTGCACAGTAGTCGACATTTGCATCCCTTTGATTATTTCGTGGAATATTTTAATATAAATCCACTAACATCAAATTATTATTATAAAGATAAAGAAATGTTTTTTTTAAAAGAAAAACCATTTTTTGATCTTTATAATAATAATTTAATAGAGATAAAAAATAAATGGAAGGCCGTATAAAAACTACACTAACTAAAAATTTTGACCATACTGAAAAATATTTAACAGCATTAGTGAATCATTATAAAATATCTAACACACATGCAAGGCTATTTGTTTTTAAAGTGGCCTGAATTTAGTTGTGTGTGAAAGTTACTTTTTTTTATTTTATTCAATATGAATAATAGTGCCTCATACATAAATCAGGGAACATAATTAAGTAACCTGTTGACTATGATTTTTCACTCATTTTGAGATATTTTTTCTCCATAACATATGCAATAATAACTGCTAACATGGGGTTTCGATTTTACTTTGCAATGTTATTATTGGGAGAGGAGCAAGTGTTTCGTATAACATGTTAATGTTAAGGAATTGGCCAGTTGTTTAGATTAGAAGGGGATTTTCATGTTAACTTTAACACATTGTGTAAAATTGTTATTAGTGTTTGTTTAAGTTTGATTGTTTCCTGAATGTATTTTTTTAAACTATCTGCCTGTATAAGTTAATAATTTTCAAATTAATTTTGAATTGATACACAGTATTGGCTTGAAGATACAAGTATTATCCCAACATGCAATTTACTGGTGTAATGGACATTCACTTTTTTAATAGTTGAGTTCTTTAGCTTTGCTCTTATAGTGCCACTGCCCGGCATACCCTACACTGATTGTTTAAAATTGAGCAAAATACAAATGAACTTTCATAGGGTGAAAATTTCATAGGGTTGCAAAATTTGATTCCTTTTTCAGCATCAGGTGCAGACGTATAACAAAACAGATACTTGAGGGATAACATTTAATACTGAACAGTTATTCACAAAATATACAATCCGTTATTAAATATATGTTTTGCATTTAAAAATGACAATAATACAAGCAAACTTTTAATTTAAAAGGGTCATAATATTTTATTCAACTTTTCGTACGTGACAGAAGTGGCTAGCGATAAAAGTATGTCAAACATCCGGTGCTAATGTGCAACAAATCAGTTCCAACCAGTTTAGTAACAATTACGTTATGAACTTCATAACGCAATTTAATTAACTGACAATGCTAAAATTATTGTAGCAAAATAAGGAAGATCATTAGAGGAATATTGTCAATAAAAAAAATATATACTTGTAAATAAAATTTTATTTACCTCCAAATGGTTGACTTTCATGTAGACACTCAATTAGCCAATTTGGATCTTCCAAGCTTACCCTAAAAACAAACCATTCAAATTATAAACACAAAATTAAATTGGCAAATTATTAAAAATTTAAATAAGAGATAAGCTTAGGTACTTTATGCTTGCACTATGCAAATTAGATAAATACACAAAAGAGGTCATTTTTTTTTCAGTGAGAAAGATTGTGAGTTATCATTTTATTTTATAACCGGGGTTGACCCAATTCTGAGTTGACGACTAGCAATGTTCAACTCCATAGCCTTTTAATTTTGAACCCAATCCAGAAGTCATGGGAACTCCTGGATCAAGTATTTGGAGAAGTTTGCTTTCATGGAGGACTTTTTGATGGAGCATTTGTGTTGCACGGTAGATTGGTTTAAAAATAAATAAATTAGCCACTTTGATGAGTTACCTAATGGGTCGCTATAAGGCATGAACCATCTATAATACGGTAAGTTAGATATCTACAATAATTTTTGTAATTAATCATGTACACATTTTTTTTTTACTCCATATTGAAATGGCATCAGATATGATAGAACTTGGAATGTTTGTGTTAATACAGGGGAAGCAGCAAAGTTTTTTTTAATTTTAGGGTAATTTTAGGAACTTTTTTCAAAAAATTTTAGGTAAATTTTAGGGGTAATATATGATTTTGCTAGGATAAAAACAGATCACACGGTAGTTTATTACATAACAGAAGATTATTACAATTCATCCACACATATCATAAATAATTGCAAGCCATAAAATAAAGCTCTGAAATTTATTAAGTCAAGAATGAAATCTCTAAAGTGTAAAAATGAAATTTCAACTTTACATATTACCTATCAGAAATTAAGTGCATAATTCAGGAACAGGCAAAAGTGAGAATAAATCAAGAGAAAAAATAAATTAACACCAACTTGGATTTTTATTTAATTTTTACCTTCTTAATCAAAACTTTATTATTACCCTTTACCTTACTTTATTAAGAAAAACTATTGTGTGATATTATTAGATTTCAAATCAGCAATTTATATTAGAAGTTAGAGAAAAACAAATTAATCATGATCATTTTTCTAATATATTCTACTGTGAAGATGAGTCCTACAAGT